TATACATGTAGGTTGTATAAATGCATTTTCAAAGTAAATTTAAGACTAAGATAATTTTCAATTGAGAAGGGATTTGTTAAACCCTTATGTTCCAAGCTCTCATTAAACAATTTTAATCATTTTAACAAAATTATATTTAACATAAAAGTATCAAAAAATTTCATGCAATTTTAAATAGAAAAAACCTAAAATAATCATGCCTCAAGTCTTTAACCAAGTTGCTACAAATTTTAAAAAATAAACTTCTAATACTTATTATAATTAGTTCACAAAGAAACAAATGAAAATGATTGAATATTTTACACAAGTTAGGATAAGACTTATTGATCCTATCTTAGTGGGATTCTTTTTTTTTTTTAATCTTTTCTTGAGGAATCTCTTATGATAAAATTTTGATTAGTCTCATAATAACCACCCGATGGCTAAGAATGTGCTTATCCGATCAAGGTAGATCATTCAATCATATTAGAAATCAAATGAACCTTCATATGTTTATGTATATATGATTTGTCCTTAATTTTTGTAGATTAGTGTGTGGTTGAAGATAGTAAAACACTCTCTCTTCTAAGTTGAAATCTACAATGTTTATTATTTTATGTTCCTAATCATGTTAGAAATCAACCTTTAACCACTATCTCTCTACTGTCGGTGGTTCTTGTTGCTGATTTAACACCCTCAGGATTTTGTAAATCCAAATTATAATGCCGTGTCCGCGCCGTATCGATGGTTATTTAACATCAATGCATATCCAAACTATTAAGGACAACTCCAATGCCACAAGGCCCTTCCAACCCCCTCCATTTTATTCACTCTCTACAACTTGCATTTGATATTGTTATATTCAGACATGCACCCTTTTAAAGCAGGCAACATTCAAAGATAAATATTTCATTCATCAACCATCATTGCATTTAAGAAATTAAAACAAGGTCAATCACGATTCAAACTAAGAAGAGTTGGAGAAATTCTGATAATAGTTAAATTGAAAATTGAAGTCAATCTAACCCAACAATGTAAGAATAACTCTTCGAAAACCAATTAACATCAAAATTATTAAAGCTTAAAATGCAGCAGAAGCTGCAGTAGCAGCCCTCTTCCTGGGTGCAGCTTGGGTTCCTGCATGCAAAACATCTTTTATGTTCAAATAAATCAGTTAGATTTTTCTCAAATAAAAGCTCAATTCATGGTAGTATAAGCAAAATTCAACATGTTAGAAATATGTTTTTATAAGGCACAGAGCTACTAAAATGCTAAAATGCAAAAGAATAGCATATAATACCTTCTCTGAAGTTGCTCTTGAACCTACGAGGTAAGTGGCGCAGATTTCTTTCGGTGCCAGCGGTCTTCCTCTTAATTGCTTTAATACTCCAATTATCTGATTCATGATTCAAAATGGTTAATGTTTAAGTAGATCAAGTAAAAATCCAGTAAAAGCACCATATCATGCATACATTTAGTCATGCAAACTTGAAGAGAGAATTTTAACTTTTTTATTGTATTGCTTCACTGCGCGTTTTGAAGCAAGCCAACACAAACACTAAATAGAGAAGTTATGTGGCAAATAACCTAACAGAAATATTAAAACTCAAAATGAACACAAAGACAGAAGATGATCATCATATAGCTCAACTAAAACAAAATCATGAATGATAAAAAGTATCAGCAAGCCGATGGGCGGAGCTATTAATTTGATTCATCAATAGCAAATACAAATTGCAGTAATTGCCATATAGGTGACACAAAGACAAGTAGATGAGATAATCTTCATTTACCAAGGAAAGTAAAAAAAGGTGATTATCAAGATTGTTATGCGATGAGAAAAATTAAACTAAAATGTAAAACAACAAATTCATGTGTGCGAGCACTGGAACGAAACCTTTAAAAATTAGATTAATTCCTAATAACTAATTTGATTTCATGCTATGAAGATCAAATTTATAAATAATTTTAATTCAAAGATGATTATTGGTGAAATATAGAGTATAAAGAATGAAACTTCATATGATTTTATTTTTAATCTTAAGAAGGCATATGCTGTTATACGAAGAAAATTAATTGGCACAAAGATTTACATTTAAAATCAAATATTGATCATAAATTTTATAATTTTATCGTGAAAGATATTAACAATTATCATTTAATATTAATGAAAGACAATGAGCCATCTAGGTAACACTAAACCACACCCTCCATGAGATAGGACAATAGGCTTGATAGTGTTATAATAATTATCAATTAATTATAAATTAATAGCAGAAAAAATTAGCCATCTGACCGCTCAAAAATTTTGCATATCTACAACCAAATAATAAAACGAATGAAGATATATAAAAAGAAATTAACTAAAGAGTTATGGCTATGATGATTAAAATGACGGAGTCTTGAAAGTTGGTATCATGCAGAATTAGAAGAAGATTTAGATGATAAATTATATAAAACCATAATTAGATTGATGTATCATTGTACAAATCATAATTGGGTTAAATAAATGCAGACATTGAATATAAGTATAATATGGCAAAACACAGTCGTTGAAAAAAATTTATGGAAAAAAGGAATAAGAATGATAATTTAAATATAGATTAAATTGAAGGATATTAAAGTGACATAAAAAACTTACAGGAATTTAATATGTAAACAATATAAGAAAATACATCCGTTAAGTTGTTGGATAATCATCTAGCATATGCGTTATAAGATAATATGAGAAGGAATTTATATAATTTTATAAAATCATAATTAGGTCAAGATATTAGATACTAACATTCAAATATTGGGCTCACTTAAAAAAATTGACATCTACATTAAGTGGGGACTAATGCAAGCTTAAAAAAAATATGGAATCGCAAGAGATGATAAAATTAATAATAGTATTGAGATTAAAGAAAAAAATTAGAGTAATAATATGATGCTACCAGACACAAAAATAGACTTATTAATGTTGATATGTGCAACAAAAGGCTAGAAAATACACTTATAAATTTTATAAAAGCAGTAGAAGATTAAAAAAAGGTTATTGACAGTTGGGTCTCAAATAAATTTGCAAAATAGATGTAAGCATCTCATACAAACTCAATGAAGAAATAAAAAAAGAGAATTATCATGTCAATCCAAAAATTAATTGGATAAAGTATGGATGATGATGTATCTCATGGAATAGTTGGGTGAAAGAATGTGGGTTCATTCAATGGTGTAACAAAATATGGATAGTTGGTTTTTATCTGCAAGAAGTTGCAAAGACCAAGTGCTTGAAGTCATTATTCTATATGTTACTTTAACAAAGGTAAAATAAATCAATAATGTTGGAATAAAACCAAACAATCAATTGCAAGGACAACAAGTTTACCCCAAGGTACTTCATGATTAAAAACTCTAATACTAAGGCAAGAAAATAAAAATTAATTATAGCACAACAAGAGTGATACAAAAAATAAAGACTCAGTTGTATAAAAATTTTATATGCAAACAATAGAAATAATCCATAAAAATGCTATATGCAAAGAACCAACCTCTACACAGTTTTAAACATGGATGCTTTCATGAAACATACAAAACAAAGCCATAAGCCTTACCAAAATCAAAAAAGAAAGATTGATATGTTGCTTCTTTTAACACAGTGCATATGCCAACTTCTAAAATTTTAGGAGGCAAAAACAAAATCTAAAAAGTAACGCCAAATAAAATGGACAATAACAAAATCATACAATAGTCATCATTAATAAAGTCTTCATGACTTGGAATTAAAAGTCCCAAGCAGCAGTAGATCCTCAAACAATATTTTTTTTTCATATGCATAAAGAAAGATCTAAAATATCTGTAAATTGATACATCCTTTAATTCTTCCAGCTTTATGTACTGCCTATCTCATCCAAAACAAGTAAATTGCTCGTCAAAAACTCCCAAAAACAACAAATTCATAAAATATCTTGCGTTATTCACTTACTGAGAATCGGGATGTACTAATATCTTCTAGACTTCTAGCTTCAAAAAACAATCCAATAAACAAACTCATCAAAAATGGGTTCAGATTCAGCAATTTCAGGTTAAATGCTAAAGACTTGGGTGTTTCACAATACAATTTTAGATCAGTCTGCAACATGTCACCAATCTTACAAAAAAAAATCATGGAGACAAATCTGGTTACATGACTGCATTACTACATTTTTTCCAATAATTAGAGCTCGCACAAGTGAGCAAGACAACTACTAGAAAACCATATGTCATCAAACCTTTTCTCTTAATTTAACAAAGGATATAATAAAGTATAAAATAAAATAAAAAAGTAGAACAATGCAAGGAATATTAAACGAACAAGTCTAGGGGTGTAAGTGAGTCAAGCTGACTCGTGAGCCGACTAGGGCTCAGCTCAATAAATGGCTTGTTAGTCGAGCTCGATGGGTGAACAAGCCAAGCTTGAGCTCATCCTAACTCAACTCGTTAGCTCACGAGCCTGCACATTTAAAAATATGAATAAAAAATGCACTTAATATATATTAGTATTCATGATTTTAAGTATAAAGTTATTAAAAATGTTTAAAAAATATATCTCACTTTTTATATAAAGTGGTTCTTTATTATTTTTCTTCCATTTTCTCATTCTTTTTAACAATTTATTATAATAATTATTTGAATCATAATCGATTTTTCTCTTTCATAACAAATGAGATGGCTCATCAACAGGCTCGAACTCGGGGTGTAAATGAGCAGAGCTTGCTCGAGAGCTGGCTTGAACTCAACTCATGAACGAACATGCGAGTCGAGCTTACCGAGTCATGAGCTTGAGTTCAAGTTCAATAAAACTTGGCACGTCAGCTCACGAGTCGACTTGTATTTTTTAAAACAAAATTTAAATATTATCTTTGATATTTAAATTTTTTTTTTAATCTGAAGAAAAAAAATCATTAAATGATGTTATGAGCTTAAATCATGTTTTCAATTTTTCTAAAAAAGTTTTAAAACAATAAAGTACAACTTTTGTCATATTCTTCATTAATGCTGATTTTTTGCTTTCATAAGCCTATAAGCCAATCATATCCTTCATTAAATTTTTTTTTTTCATTACAAAACGAGCTGCACGCCTACAAACCTTCTCCATTGAGCTCGGTACTATAGTGTAAATGAATTCAACGGGCCTCAATGAGATGTTGAGGCAACACATCCGACGGTCTTCTCCAACAACAATGAGCTTTGTGGACGCCGGCAAGCTCCTCTAACAAACTCGAATTAACGAGTCGAGCTCGAGCTTAGGTCAATTTTAATGAGTCGAGCTCGAGCTCGAGCTCAATATACAAGCTCAAGCTCGAATTCGAGCCCACTATTCATTGGACGAGCCGAGCTAGAGTTAGTCGTGACTCGAGTACAGCTCGACTCATTTACACCCCTAGCATATGGTGACTCGAGCTCGACTCAACTCGTTTACACCCTTATAAACAACTATTGAACCTTACTATTACTTTCCTTGGCTTTCCAAGATGTGAAAAGCACAAAAAACAAACTTTCCCCACAAAGGATGCTAATTATGCAATACAATAGGCTCGCTAAAATTTGGAAGGTTTTCATGGTATAGGGTGAATCTCCATACCAAGGTTCCTTAGTATCACTAACCTCTCCAATTCCTTCAACACCTCAACCACACCTACCGTTTGGATTTATTGCTCCACGATTTATTAGCATTAACGAGCAAGAAATGCCAACAAGTACAGGCAATCGTATGGGACTGCTATTTCTTGTGGCCACCATACTTGGAACACTCAGCAAACCACACCTTCATCCTCTCTTGGAATACCAGGATACCAAAAAGCAGTTTGCGCTATCCAGCGTCCACCTTTGGTGTCCCCCTCTAGATTATATCAATATAAATATTGCTGATGCTCTTTTACCATCTCGCCAAGTTGGCTTGGGGGCTATTATCCGCAATGCGAGGGGAAATTTTCTTATGGCCTCGAGCAAACAATCTCCCTTTAATCTACCAGGACATAGTAAAACAAGCCAACAGAGTAGCCAATTTTTGTATAAAGTTTGTTTTAAAGTATAAATTTGTACGGATGAGCAATGATAATGATAGCTTTATTTCTCTTTTTTTTTTTTGTGTTAAAAGTATATAGTTATATTTGTATTTTTGTTGTAATTTTTGTTATTCAAATGCAATATGCAAGTTTCAAACAAAAGAGTGCTACTCTATGTAAACACGAACCAATTTGTGTCAATATCCGTCGTCAGATCCGAACACTTTCGTAATTCAATTAATTAAAATAGTTGAATGGCCTATTTTTACAAATAAAAATACACATCTGAGATTAAAATAAAAATAGTTAGGGATAATTTCGACTATTTCGTTTAAAAACAGGAGTTTTAAACTGGATAAGCAGATATATAAAAACTTTTAGGGGCGACAAAAAAAATGCAATTTCAGGAAAATTAATTATATAAAAGCTGTGCTTCCAAACAGCCACTGTTAACTGATTTTGCTGTTTCAAACAGGCAAACGGTGTAAGCAAAACTAAACGAGGCTTTAAACTTCGCATTTTTGGGGGGTTTGGCAGAATTTAGCTCAAATCTTGCCTTAATCCGGCCTAAATCCTGCATCCAAACAGACCAACAATAAAGTGGATCTCATGAAAGCTTATTTCTATTTACAGTGACGCTTCCCATAAGATCAATAATTTAAAATTTTTATAGAAATATGGACAAATCGTAAGTAATATAAGATAGGCACATGAAATTTCTAGCAAAAAGAGTTTAAGACGACAAAATATAGTATCAGTTCTTACACTTGCGGATGCGAGCGGCAGGGTAGCCACAGGAGGAGCAGGTACTCTTCTGCAGGTGAAAGCTCCTTCGGCCGCATCTCACGCATAATGTATGAGTTTTGTTCCTCCGCTTACCAAAAGATCCCGTACCTTTTCCCTGTGAGCGATATAAGAAGGTGTTGGATTTGCAATTGTAAGATTAAAGTCGAGGTAAAAATTAGGGTTGTAACCATTTCAGAGCGGATCGGTGGTCGGCGTCAACAGAGGAAGCGAGCATAAAACCCTAATAGAAGATCCTTTGATGATCCGATAGGTTGCGTTCTTATAGTCGGCTCGGTCCGTGTGATTACCTTCTTACCAGCAAATAAACATTTTATTATGTTCTTTAACCTTGCACGGCTTTGGGGCATGTAAATATCGAATTGTCTAATTGGGTATTATATTTTTTAAATTTTTTTATTAAATTTTATTCAAATTTAAATATAATTTGAATTTTAAATATTATTTAAATTTACTTACTAAATATCTTTGTTAAATAAGTCAAAGTTGAGTTTTAATAAAAAAAAAATAATTATTTAAATATATAGCATTGCATCCTGGAATATTCGCAGTGGTAGAAAAATATGATATTTAACGTCTTAGTTTTGTACGAAGATCTAGCATACAAGTAGATAAAAGAGATAGTGTAGCGTTTATAAAACACACCAGAGATTTTACGTGGAAACCCCTAAAAAGGGAGAAAACCAATGAGACTAACATAGTTTGAATGAATCCACTATTATTTGCAATCGATTATAAATAAGGTCATTTATTGGAAGGAAGGCTTTGTCATCATATGACATATATACATCACATAGAATGCATTACATGATAGAAATTAGAGCAATCAATATCGATATGTTCATTTTGTTAGCACGCGACGGAGGTTGGAATGATCATATTAGGCATGAGACAAGGGTTAGAAAGTTCGATGTCTAGCGGTGGAGGTCGGAAGGATCATAGTAGGTGAGAGACAGGGATCATAAAAAGACTGTTGTCTACCGGTGGAAGTAAGAATGACCGTAGTATGCGACGGAGGTCGGAAGGACTGTAGTCGGCAGGAGACAGGGATAAGAAAGACCGTTGTTTGGCAGTGGAGGTTGGAAGGACCGTAGTAAGCAACAGAGGTAAGAAGGATCGCAGTAAGTAGAAGATAGGGGTCAAAAAGACCATTGTTTGGCAATAGAGGTATGAAGTATTGTAGTAGGCGGCAAATGTCGGAAGGACCATCGTCGGCATGAGACATGGGTCAGAAAAATCGTTGTCTGGCGGTGGAGGTCGGAAGGATCGTATTCGTTAGGAGACAGGGGTTAGAAATACCGTTGTCTTAAGGCGGTGGCCCGACGGGAGTCCGGGCATCAAGTTGTGGTTTGGTGGAACTCCATGCGTCAGGTGGTGGTCCGATGAAACTCTGAGCGTCATGTGGTGGTACGACGGAGCTTCAACGTCATGTGGTTGTCTGACAAAACTCCAATGTCATGTGGTGGTTTGAAGAAACTCCGAACGTCAAGTGGTGGTTCGGTGGAACTCCGGGCATAAGGTAGCAGCCCGACGGAACTCCGGGAGTTTGATGGTGGTCATGCGAAACTCCAGCGTCAGGTGGTTGTACGACGGAACTCCGTGTGTCAGGTGGTGGCCCAGGCGAACTCCGGGAGTCAGGTGGTGGCCTAGCGGAACTTCGGGCGTCAGGTGGTGGCCCGGCGGAACTCCAGGCTTTAGGTGGTGGTCTGGTGGAACTTCGGCGTCAAGTGGTGGTCCTGTGGAACTCTAAGCGTCAGGTGGTGACTCCGTGGAACATCGACGTCAAGTGGTGGTCCGACAAAACTCCGGGCGTTGGGTGGTGGCTTGGCGAAACTCCGGGAGTTAAGTGGTGGTCCGACGGAACTCCGGCGTCATGTAGTGGTATGGTGGAACTTTGGGCAGCAGGTGGATTAGGAGGAGCTAAGGGGCAAGAGCAATCTCCGATCTCTCTCTTATTCTCTTGCTTGGGGTCCTTTTTAAAGAGGAATTTATATATTTTCTAGAGTGACATGACCCGTAAATAAGAGGAAGATCAAAGGTAGATGGGGAGTGGTTTGGATGGATGACATATGTTGAATCCCTTGATCATGGATCGTTTGCTAGACATTTTGAAGGACTTAATGATGTCGAAATTCATTGATCTTGGGATTGTTGGATTCATCTAGTCAAGCCGCTCGATTCGGCTATAAGCATGTCACGTTTGAAAATTGTTTGGTAATCCAATTTCTAGTTTGAACCGTCCAATGATGTTTCGGGACCTTGATTTGGACTCATTTGGGCTTTGATTGAGTCGAATTTGGTGTCGATAGGTTTGTATTCTCAAGGTGTTCAGTTTGACTATAAGTTTGTTAAATTAGAGTTTGGATGATCCCAAATTTAATTTCGGAACTTTCCAATTTAATTTTCCTCGAGATCCATGCCCGATCAAGATAATTTTTTATTATGTATCAACTATATACATGAAAAAGGTTAAAATAGCTCCAATAACATATAAGATAAGAAAGAGTCACCTTAGGTGATTTTGCCACATAAAATATAGGACTTCCTTTGACTAGTTAGCAGAGCAAATATATTATATTTGTTCTATGCTAAGAAAAATAAAGACATACCTAAAAAAATGGTTAAATTTCTTTTAATTAGATATAAATAAAAATCTAGCTCTTATAATAAAAAAATGGGGGATTTACATACATACCACTTTATTTTATGTTATTTACATATCTAATATCTAAAACTTTAATATTACATGACTATCATCCATAGAATAAATATGGGTGCATAGACTAAAATATTAAAATTTATAAGACGGTATATGTGGTAAGAATGAAATAAATGAGTGATATATTTGATATTAAAATTATATATGAGTGATATGAATGTAATATTAAAATTTCGAGTGATAGATATATATAAATAGCATGAAATAAAATGATATGCATGTAAATTCCAAAAAAACATGTAACCGATCCAATGTTATTTAATCATTTAAGGGTTTTTGTAGTGGCAGCACTGCAAAACCCTTATCGTGAGTAAGGCTTCGTTTGGGATGGTTTTTTTTCTTCTTCTTAAAGCTGCTTTTTAGTATAAAATTTTAAAAAAATTATACTAAAAAACTGCTTTAAGAAGCAGAAAGAAAGCCATTCCAAAAGAAGCATAAACACTCCCGATGCCAAATATCGTGAAACGATGGCTGCCGGAACCACTGATAGATGAAAAAGCAGAGTTCCTTTCCTTTAAGAGCACACTGATCCCTGAGTTTCATTCTCCTTCGCTCAGAAATCACAGAGCGAGTACGTACAATGCGCTGCCATCACAGTCTCTCTAGGGCTTGGGGATTTTCTGTTTTTTTACTGTGAAATGTAAGAAGCCACTGGTTTAGATCCACGCTATACTAGCAACTGATCGTTCATAAAATATCTAGATCATTCTTGTCTCTCCCTATATGCTGCTTCCAAGTTGTATATTTTCCAGTTGTTTTATTCGTTTCAAAATATGCTATTTTCCTGGTCGCATGCAGGGGCGGAGCCAGGAATTTTTTTATATGGGGGCACAAATTATTAAATTTTAAAACAAAACCCAACATTTTTCATTCGGGCTTGGTACAAACATAGATGATTTTTAAAAAAAAAATAGATTGTAAGACTCAGTATATAAAGATATAGTATATGATAAAAAAAAAAAAAAAACTTGCAATTAAGAATGTTACATCCTTAAATTCTTCTTATATATTATCAATAATTTCTCTTGCTAAGTTTTCATTTTTTTAAATAATTGTACAATCATTTTATTTTCAATACTATTAAATTTATATTTTTCAATATAAGTAGACAATCATTCATCCAGAAGTCTCCCATATGCTTGCGTAAACGATTTTTTATAATGTTCATTGAAGAAAATGCTCATTCTACAATTACTGTAACAATTGACAATATCAGAGCAAGTTTTATATGTAGTATTATTTATCAAGAGCGAAAAAAATCATTCATTTTTTAATTTTTAAAAAAGTTTCACATTAACAAAAACTAAATGATGCTTATAAAATAGAAATAATTGATTTAAGGAAAGCCAAATTGCATTCATTTAATGAAGCGTTTATTTGAGTCCGTGTCTTTTGAATATTTATAATAATATTTTATAAGTAAAAATCAAACAGGCAATTAAAAAATCAAATAACTACATTAACGTCTTTTTTATTTATTGGAGCCGGTTTTATTCTAACATAAGAGATGATAATGATTCACTTTTTAAGCAGATATTTCCGCACACGGCTCTCCTTGATCTATTGGTTGAGAGCTTAGGCTTCCAACTAAGAGGTCTAGGGTTCGAGTCTAAGTGTATGCGTTGTGTGTGTGAATTTACCTTAAATGACCTAAATATAAAAAAAACAGATATTTCCCGAAAATAATTTAAATTAAAAAAAAAAACATATAAAGCGTTATATAAAATAAGAATCCATACATACTATTAAACATATCTCTTTTTTCCAAGATAAAAAAAATGATTAATTCCCAAAAAAAGGGGTAAAGCTGTATATGAAATACTAATAAATGCAGGCTATTAAACAAATCTCTTTTTCTGGAGAGAGAGAGGTTCCGCACTTTGGAATCTTGGATGACCACAACCGACAGTGAAAAAATAGAAGCAACAGAAGATTAACAGCTTTTTTTTCCTTATTTAAGAATTATCATAATTTTTTTTTGAAATCATAATTAATCTTAATTAAGTATTACTTAGGCGGTCAGTGAGGGGCCGTGCCCCCATGGCCCCCATACTGAATACGCCCTTGGTCGCATGTCGTCTCTGAATTACTTCCTAGGATTTTTTTTTTCACTTTTGGCTGCGCTTTTTTAGAAAAATTTGCCATTTTCTTACGTGGAGTCTTCGGGGTTGTTTGGCTGTAAGTAGGATTTATCAAATCCTGCGACTGCAGCTTGCTGCATCGAGGGGACCAGCGGAATGTGCAGAAGAAGAGTTAGCGAGACTTGCGGATTTAAGTTAAATTTGCTCATTGCCTTGCGAAATCCGGGATTTAAGACAAAACGGACGAGAAACGGGATTTAAGGTTATGTAGGATTTAAAATAGTCTTTTGTAATGTTCAGGATTTAGCTTAAATCCGGCCTAAATAGTGCGTAAATCCTGCTACCAAACAGTTGATGTTAGTATCTCAATGCAGGCATTCTTGGAGATTAATTGAAGGAAGCTTCAACCGAGTTTTTGTCTCCTTCATAGTTCTGCGTAAAATATCGTTGGGGATGGCTCCTTCTACTCAGCTGCAAAGAGCAATTGCAGCTGTTAAAGCCATGAAGCTTCTTGGGTTTAGTCAAGGGGTGGCTAAGCCAGTCTTGAAGGAACTACTCAAAGTTTATGGGAACAACTGGGAGTACATCGAAGCTGAGAATTATAGGTTGCTTGCAGAAGCAATACTCGATAGTCAGGAGTCAAAGGTAATTCTGATTATGCTGCTGATTGATCTGCATCTTATTTTTGTTGGATGTTTTTGAGTTGCTTGTAGACATTCCTTCCAAGTCAGAAAATGAATGTAACAAGTGAATTCTCAGGTGGGGGAAGACTGTGGTAACTGTCGAAGCCATGAAATTATTGGCCTTTCATAGTTTAAGTTTTGAGTTGCAATAATTAATTAATTTTTTAATTAGGATCCTGAGCCCAATGAAATAGATGCTGCTTTTACTGATGAATTTACGAAACCTCTAAAGAGGCTAAGGCATATAGAGGATCCTGGCCCTTCACAATCTACAATTGAATCTGAGGCTTCTGGTGAAACTTTACTGAAGAAGATGAAACTGGTGGCATCAAGCGAAGGTACTTTAATAAACCTCAGAGGTGAAATAAATAAGCCCGCGGAGGCTCAGTGCTCCTATGCAGGAAAAGTTGCATCTTTATAAGCTGACTCCTAACTAAAAAATGTTACAGATGGAATTGGAGAGATGGCTCCTCAACATGCTATTAATTTTGAAGAGCCAAGCGCTCCTTTGGGTCATGGAATTCCAAAGTTAAGTAGGCGGATAATGCGCTCAAGTTATCAAAGAGATGAACAATACTTGTGTGATAGAACAGGAAATGTTGTGTGTTATAAAGAACCAAAAAATGAACTAGATACTGAAGCTCTGCAAGAGGCTGCCGTTGTTGGTGTTTCAACCATTCCAGATAAGCCCATGGCTATGACTGAAAATGACATCTCAACAAATTATAATGTTCCTATTGCCGTGGCAGCACCTAATGGGATTCCTTTAGGGATTGCAGGTATAACTGCACTAAAAAATGTATTGAAGATTGCAAAACATCATTTTTTTATTGAGGTTTTATGTGGCAATGAATATGTAGCGCACAAACAACAACAACAACATAAAGCCTTTATCCCACTATGTGAGGTCGGCTACTTGAATCATTTTTCTCAATTGTGTCCTGTTAAGGGTTAAATTTTCATTTAAGTCTAATAAAGAAAGGTCATTGACTCATTTCTAATATTTTATAACCAAGTCTTTTTAGGTCTACATCAACCTTTCTTAACATAAGTCAATTCTAATGCATCTACTTTACTAACCGGGTCATCGATAGGCTGTTGTTTTATGTGACTAAATCATTTAAGGTGACTCTATGTAATCTTATCTTCCAATGTAGCTACTCCAAACTTTTCATGTATATGCTCATTTCACATCCTATCTCTAAGAGTAAATCCACTCATCTACTTGAGCTCTCTCATTTTTACAACACTTAACTTAATATTATGTTTCTCTTTTAATGAACAACATTGTATACTGTTAAAATCCCAACCATCCCTTTGGCCCTTAATCCCGTGGCCAAGGATGGAGATCCGTGGGAGGCTCAGTTGGATTACGCCAATCTTCTTCCATATTCGGGTGGCTGATTTAGGAAGGATTATATTAGCACAATTATGAATAATTTTATATTTATTTGTTTCTTTATTAAGATATCCTGCATAGATCTACAAATAGTGATAAATTTGTGTAATAATAATTGAATCCTTTTTCCCTCTCCAATTATGTGAATTCTAACATGGTATCAGAGCCAACGGCATTCGTTGCCGATTGAAGAACGATCCTAGAATTGTCGGATGAGGAAAAGAAAAAAGAAGAAGAAATCGGAGCTTCCAGATGCCGTTGACGCTGCCTCCGACTCGGACGAACGCAAGCAAGCAGAGTCGACACCAGGCGGAGTCGAACATCCAGGCGTAATCGACACCAGAAGGAGGCAGCATTAGGCGAAACGGGAGCAGGGGTACGGAGCTCTATCCGACTCTTGGACTACCTGCGAACGGTCGAACAACCACGAAGGAACCGATCGAAGTATCGTAACTTCCGATCCGATAGAAGGGAGAAGTCTTCGAAGGAGCATAGCGAACAGCCACGAAGGAGCCGAACAAGCACCTCCTGCGATGCACCCGAAGCCGAACATCAATGACGTCAAAGGAGCGTAGTCGGACAGCCACTGAGGAGCCAAAGAAGTGACGCGTGCCCACATCTCCTATGATGCAAGAAAGCCATAAACGGAGGCGAATGAAGCTTGCGAAGAATTGAAGCACGTCTGACTCACGCGTGCGAAAGAAAGGCTTCATGCCCTAGCTTCTCTCGATCTGAGTCTTCCAAAGCTCGGTTCAGTTCGGTTCGGTTTACTAAACTGAGAGGTTATTTCAAAAAAAAAAAGACCTTTATTGCCGTAACTAAAGATCGGAGGGATCTTATTTTTTGGAAGCCTTCATTGCTGTCCAGAATCAAACAGATAGTTTCATTACTATCACAAAAAAAAAAAAAAAACCAAAATTTTGAGGAATATAGGTTCCCACTACCGGCCTTCATTGCCGAAATTATGAGGAATATTGGTCCTTATACCGGCCTTTATTGCTAGAATTATGAGGAATGCAGGTTCCCACCTCCGGCCTTCATTGCCAGAATTTTGCCATATATTGTCGGGCCTTCATTGCCGACATTTCCTTGAGAATCGAGAAGGAGACATACCTAAAGGATAATTAATCCACCCTCTCTGTTGTCCCACCACTGGCCTTTATTGCCATTTCCGGTATCTTGAGGGCTATTGTTCAACGCAGCCTTCATTGTTTCCCTTACAGGCTTGATTGATATAGCCTTCATCGATATCATTTGTTGTTGAAGCTAATTCTCCCAAAGTTTTGACCAAATGGAAGACTATGGTACACTAAGAGAGTTGATAATTCTACTGGACTAATTACCAAGCTGGGAATAACTGATATGTATTCCCCAGCTTGAGGGGGAGTGTTAAAATCCCAACCATCCCTTTGGCCCTTAATCCCGTGGCCAAGGATGGAGATCCGTGGGAGGCTCAGTTGGATTACGCCAATCTTCTTCCATATTCGGGTGGCTGATTTAGGAAGGATTATATTAGCACAATTATGAATAATTTTATATTTATTTGTTTCTTTATTAAGATATCCTGCATAGATCTACAAATAGTGATAAATTTGTGTAATAATAATTGAATCCTTTTTCCCTCTCCAATTATGTGAATTCTAACATATACCATAAAGCTTTGCAGGTTTAACCACCATCTTAAAGAATTTTCCCTTAAGTTAGTGGGGGACTTTTCTATCACATAACAAGCCTAGCATTACTCCACTTCAACCATCCAACTTGAATTCTACTGATATATTCCCATTTATTTTACCATCACTCTGAACAATAGATCCAAGATATCGAAAACGTGTACTCTTATTAATGAATTGATCACCCAACTCACGTTATCCTCGTTAGATCTATTATTACTAAAATTACACTATATATATATTAAGTTTTAAATCTACTCTAACGAAAGATTTTAGACTCTAAGGTTGACCTTCATAATTCAAGTTTACCTTCAGCTCTCTCTAGTCTCATCAACAAGAAGAATATCATCAGCAGAAAGCATACACTAGGGTGCAACCTCTTGCAAATGTCTAATGAGAACATCCATGACTAAAGCAAAAGATATGGGTTTAAGGCTTATCCTTGATCTAATCCAATTGAAATAGCAAAATACTTGGTCAAACCATCTTGTGTTTGAACACAAGAATAGCTCCTACATACATATCCTTAATGACTTAAATATAAGCATTATTAACCCCTTCCTATTCTAGAACTCTCCATAACACTTCTCTTGGAACTTTGTCATATGCTTTCTCTAAATCAATAAATATCATATGTAGATCCTCCTTATTCTCTCTATACTTTTCCATCAAACCTCTCAATAAATGTATAGCTTCCATAGTAGACCTATCCGGCATGAATCCAAATTGATTTTGAGAGACATTAATATCACGCTGCAACCTATGCTCTATTAACTCTTTCCAATAGTTATAAAGTAACGACACATTAACTTAATTCCTCTATAATTTGTGCAATCTTGTACATCAACTTTATTCTTAAAAAAAGGAATCAACGCACTCATTCTCTACTCATTTGACATCTTTTTAATCTTCAAAATAATATTAAAAAGTTTAGTTAGTCAAAAAATTCCTTCATCTCCTATACATTTCCACACCTCTATTTAGTGCACGTGATAGTTAAATTCTATAGCTAAATAAAGCTAACACTGGAGTCTTGACTGCCTAAAAATCCCCCCAAAGAAGTCTCCTATTGTTGCGTCACACCACATAAATGCCAAAACGTGAAATCTTACATTAGCTAACTAAATCATTAAAAAATTAGTTACACACCTGGAAAATCAGCCATAATGTTTCAATTTAGCAATCTTTATTTGGCCAGCATTTTTAATATATTGATATAGTTTGTTAATTTGCATTGCTATTGCTAAGCTTGGGGTTTTTTTTTTTTACTTTAGATGTCTTATTGATTCAATTGTAGTTTATTAATTCATATTTGAGGGCATTGAAAGCTTAATTTTATTTGTTTAACTTGCTCCTTACAAAGGTGAATATCCACTATTGGCAGGCGTTTATTGTATGTTTTTTTGCTGAAAATTTTCGTTATTCTTTCTACTGTTGGGTTTTATCCTAGAAAGTTTTGTATGCAAAGATTGCATTTTCAATTAGAGGGATTAAAAGCTAGAAGAAGTAAACCACTTCCAAAGCATTACCTCAAGAACTCTTTCTTGGTGTTGAATTTTATATGTATGCACTAGGATTGGCTGTTTACCGATATTTCTCTTCCAAATAACTGCTTCTTTCATTTGAGACTATCATAGTTTTCTGGCCCTTTGTGTTGAACTTCTATTTAAAGCATACTTTTGAGGACCTTTCATCAAGTTAGTCCCTGTTTTTTTTTTAAATTTTTCGTGATTTTGTTGAGGATTCATCACGCTTTAGGACAAAACTTTTTTCATCCAACAAGGACAACTCATTTTCAGATAAAGCTGAACAAGTTCAATTTCTACTATGTGTAACTATTATTCGAGCAAACACTGGAATTCTATGCTCCACACAGATAAAATTTATGTTCTATTTACTTGTCTGATGACTTAAAACAAATGTTATACTACATTTTTACACTGGTCCCTTGCAATTTTAATATATCTTCATCAGTTTTCTCTGTTTTTGCAATAACAGCAATGACAAGGGGATAAACACATTTTTTATGTCATCCTTGGTCATCCTATCTCGCAATAACAACAATGACAAGCCTTTATCCCACTCCATGGGTTGGCTACATGAATTATTTTTCTCCATTGTGACCTATTAGGAGTCAAATTCTTATTTAAATATTGGTCATACTATTACACAATTCAGGAATTTTTAGTGAATAACTTGGTTAAAACTATGTCCTTGCTTTCCGTCATTTTTTTAAAATATATTTTGACTTTTGTTTTCCTCTTTAAAAGTTATGGCATTTGTTCTGTAATGTCAACCAGTTTTTAGTGCTTTTTTAACTGCGCTATTGTATTCCTGCTCTAGATGAAGCTAGTAAAATTGGTTTTTTTGGGGCAAATGCTTCGTTTGGTCTAACAGATTCCTCCCGCCTACAACTAGCACCAAACGAAGGGAATGAAAGAGAAAGTTTTCAAGTTTCGGCACAGAATGTGCTTGCTTATGTACAGGATTCAACTAATGTTACCATAGCTTCCTCAAACACGGGGAAGGTAAAACTTTCATTGAACTGTAGCGTTGAGTGTCAGAATTTTAAAATGCCTGTCATAGAATCAGTCTTTAAAATAGTTGAGGATAGGTGTTTAAAATCCTATAAGATTCTTCATCCTAACTTCTCACTTTTGAACCTAATGAGAGAGATATGCCAGAGTTCTGCTGATTTGGCTGCTGAGTCGGGTGTTCCGCTCGATGATGTTGTAAAATTGTCTCCTCTGAAAGAATGTTTGAAAAATTCCGAGTCACCTGGTATTCATCGTAGAATGACCAGGAGGTCTTTCAATGTTTCACCAAATTTGGTTTCATTGGAAACTCGAAGGAAGAGCATGAATGGTCTACAATCAAGCCTACATATTGATGGTCAGAGTAATGGTATACATAAAAACTATGCTCCACAGTCCTCAGACAATGATGTTTTACAGTGTTCGGCTATTCAGCCTCTGCATGAGAATGCTATTATTGCATCCTTGCCCCAACATTTTGAACATGACATAGCAAAAGGTGAAGAAAGAATAATAATTTCAGTCATTAATGAATTCAATCGTGAGAAGACCCTCCCTTACTTTCGTTACATACCTTGGAATGTTGTTTATCAAAATGCTCATGTGAATTTTTCCCTTGCTCAAATTGATGAGGATGACTGTTGTATAAACTGTTTTGGCAATTGCTTGAGTGTCTCTATCCCATGTGCATGCACAAGAGAATCAGGTGGTGAATTTGTCTACACACTAGATGGTTTGTTGAAAAAGGAATTTCTGAATGAATGCATTTCTATGAACAGCTATATGGATAAACGACATGTCTACTGTAAGAATTGCCCTATAGAGAGGTTTAAGGGTGAGAATAAGTTTGATTCATGTAAGGGACATGTCGTTAGGAAATTTATCAAAGAATGTTGGAGCAAGTGTGGGTGCAACAAGCAATGTGGGAATCGTGTTGTTCAGCGTGGTATAACATATAATTTGCAGGTTATTATTATCATTCTTTCTTTTATAGATATGCTATGGTTTCGTACAATTGTTTAGATTTTATATGTTGATATTAGGTTTTTTCTCAGAGTCACTTTTCTGCATTCTAAAACTGTTGTATGCTTCAGGTGTTTTATACTGCTGACGGTAAAGGATGGGGGCTTCGAACCCTTGAAGAATTACCTAGGGGAGCATTTGTTTGTGAATATGTTGGAGAGATTTTAACGAGCAAAGAACTTTATGATCGAACTGTGCAAGGGTCTTGTAGTGCAAAACATACTTACACATTGGTATTGGATGCTGATTGGGTTTCAGAAGAGAGATTGAGGGATGAAGAAGCTCTTTGTTTAGATGCTACTTTCTATGGAAATGTTGGGAGATTTGTTAATCATAGGTATTGTGTTTTTGGTTGTTTAGTCTAGTCGGCATTACTTTCATTAGTAAGATTTGTATTTCAACTTCTTTTGCACTTCATTGAAGTCTTAGATTACTACTATGAAAAGGAATGGTGTGTTATTGGAAGAAGTATTTCCCTTGCATAGCAAGGTTATTTTATATAAACTTGTATATCAGTTGAAAAATATTATAATAGATGCTGTCCATGTGGGGGGAGCTAGTCTACATTTGCGGAGTGATAGTTTCTAAGTTGTCTTTGTGACGTGAGGTTTAAAACCTGTCAAATTCTTTTATGCACTTGAATTTAAGATCTAATTATTTGTTGTTCATTCTTTAGCAAATCTCTTTTTACTTTTTGCATTTTTTTTCTTTCAAAATTTAACATTACTATTATTTCTGTATTACCTTATAACCATGTTCTTAATAATATAATAAAATTTAGGTTGGCTGCTTATGCTGCTTGTTTTTGCGTAGCTGCAAAACATGGCATTTTCTATTCTCTAACTATTTGTAATTTCCCATCGTTATGATCTTGAGTGTTACAGCTGATATAAGACTATTGGCTGAAAATTGACATATACTACTAAGTGGACTATCTTCCGGAGGCAGCTTATTATTAAGGAACATGCGAGTCTGAATTATTATTATAACAAATTTATATAATATTTTCGTCCTCATTTATGAAAGTTCGAGGAGGTTGTTAGACCTCAATGAAATATCCCTAGGCGCACCAAGAGGGAGGGTGAATTGGTAATTTAAAAGTCAAGTACTAAACAAAAATACTAATTTTTTGATTTTTTTGCTAAAAAATAATTTGTAAACTAAATCCAGGTAGATAACTTAAAATTGTGCGGATGGAATTAATAATTTTAAAAGAGATTATATATATATATATATATATATATATATTTGTTCTTTTAATACATGCATATTTTCTTATTGCAAGCCACAATCTAACCTAAGTGCAGTTAATAGTAAATATTAAAATCAGTAAATTCAACTCGCAAATAATAATAAAAATTGCAGAAAGAAAATAAATGCAAAAAGGAAAAAGCACCCTAGAATATTTTATAGTGGTTCAGTCAACCTTAACCTACGTCCACTCCCCAGAGTCATCCACTCTGAATATTGCACTATCATTATAGTGTCTCTCCTTTTGCCCCCACAGTAAAGCGGTGAAACCCTTACAAAAATCCCTTCCACCAAACCCGGTGCCACGGAGTTGGAAGCTTTATCACCCTCCAGGCGACGACAGTGGACCTTCAATCTTTTTCTCTCTCCTGGAGAAGGCAGAGTACGTTAAACTCATTTCTCACCCTCTTGGTGATGGCAGAAAACCACATCCATGAGCTGAAGAATTTTTCCCAGAGGCCAGAGCCATCCAAGAAACCTAGACAGACACTTGTAGGAACAATGAAAGACACTTGCGTGGAACAACCATGTGATCCCCTCACATTACTCCTCTCTCACACACAAGCACTCCCTTTTCTTCTCAAAGCATCCTCTCAAGAACACTCAGCAGCCAAAGACTTTGAAACAAGTCAATGAGAGAGAGATAAATACAAGGCCTCATAAAAAGCCCTAAATTCAATTATGGCGACTCTGATCGTACAGTACGATCATGGATCGTCTGGTACGATTAGTGCAAAGTACTCATGTTAGTACTGTACGAAGAGATAGGTGATGTACGATTAGTTCAAGGAATTGAGTTGATCGTCCTGGATGATTTAGATCATCATCCAATACTATTAGTTCAAACAACTTGGATTATGTTAAGAAATGTAGGGGTAGACCTAAAAAGACTTGGTTAAAAATATTAGGAATGACCTTTCTTTATTAGATTTAAACGAGAATTTGAGCTTTAATAGGACACAATGGAGAAAAAGGATTCATGTAGCCGACCCCACGTAGTGGGATTAAGGCTTGATGTTGTTGTTGTTAGTAGCAACGAGAATTTTTGTTCCATAAAGTATCACTGTAAAAATTTTACCATTCCATGAATAATATTGTTACAAATTGATCTTTATCATTTATTACACCTCACACCATACATTATTTCGGCAATTAGATGGTTGTATTGCTTTGCCAAGGTTTTTGCAGATAGTTGGATTTATTTGTTTAATATATGTGTTTAGGTCTATTTTATTTTTTAGCTTATTTGTTTTATTTTAGGACTTACTAGACATTGCATTTGTATTTGGATGCCTTGGTCATTCTACTCTCATAATGTATGCTATAATATCATTTCTTATAATTTAATATGTTAGGAATGAAATGGACGACATTTAATGAATGAAATAATTATTCTCAATTGTATAGTTGCTTAATCTTCTTTCCTGCTGATTGTAGCTGGTTCCTCTCCTTCCCCCTTATCTCTCACCCTTCTCTCGCCATCTATATCAATATTGGTGTCAAGATCAGCATCCCATCATCCCTCTAGCCCATTACACACTTCAAACATATTATTTTAAGTGATTATGAACCTATGATAGTGAAAAACTCTGATTCTTCGAGAGTATCGTTCCCACGAGAATAAGAATTACCCTAAGTTCACTTTAGTGTTGCTTCTATGAATTACCAAATTTATCTTATCTATAGAAAGTCAAATGTGTACTATTGAAAATTATTAACTATGTCTTAAAATTGAAAATCCTATTTTTAAGTGATTATGACCTATGATAGTGAAAAACTCAAGAGTGCAAAGTTAGATATCTCTCAATGTTGTGAATCAGAGCATAAATACTGATCGTCTTTGTCGAGCTAGTTAGAGTGTCTAACTATGACTTCTCTTAATTACAGTGATTTTTTCTCCTTAAAGTTTCAAGACTAAACACCATATGTCTATGCGTGGTAGAATCTCATTCTAAATCCCCTAATTATTCCACTATTTCTTCGTTGAGATTATACATCATACCAAGTTTTTAGTTTACGCAAGGCCCATACATAAACAAAATTAAGAACGAAGAATTTAAAAGCAATATTTAAAGATTCATTAAATTAGAAGCTAAATTAAGGAAACATGATTTTTCACCTATCATAAGCCCAAAGAAATATTTTAGCCAATCATGAAAATTAAAATAAACAAAACATGGTTTATTTCTAAACTAAACAAAGTACAAGAGGTAAGTGATGATAGTCATCAGGAATTCTCTACAATACGATTACAAACTCTTCTTTCACTAGAATTGACTTCCTTGGCTTGCTATATTCCTCTCCTTCTAGACTCTAATTACAAATGAACAAATGGCCATCCCCCTCCCAAAAACAATAGTCCTTTCCCAACAGCAGCAACTCCCTAAGAAATAAGCTTTTTATTTACAATTTTTACAAATAATTAAACTGGCGCCACAATATTGACTTGGGTAGCGCTGCGACGCTATTGAATATTGTCGATTCATCAGTCGTCTCATCAGTTTGCCGGTTCAACTGTTAGTAATCGTCACCTGCAGTGGTACTGTGGTGATCTGGTGCTATGAAACTGTGTCATGGCATTGTGGCGCTCCTTCCTTGGCGCTTCGGCGCCTTGCTCTCTATTTGGATTTAGCCCTTTACTGTTGTAGTGCTGCCTTATAGTGCTCGAGCACTGAGGGTGAGTATAACTCTGTGGTGCTTTATCTGTGGCGTCATGGAGCTTCTTCAATTATGAAGTATTTTGCTTCTTTTCCTCACAAAATGATAGATTAGATAGCATTTTTAGAAAATAAGTATAATTTGATTATACTTTTTTTTTTTCTTATCAGCTCACAACATTTCTCACCCTCCATTACATTGGCGTTGAAAGAAAAGCCTTGTTGTTGCCACTGAGTCACCTATGTTGTAAATTGTTTAAGTGATTATGGAATAAATCACATCGTTAGATATAACTGTGTGCAATTCGTAGTTGATGCATTTGTATCTTCCATTTGTGTCAAAAGGGCTTTCTTGCTATTATGTCTTCCTTTCCCTCTCTAAGCTGTTATTAATGAAGTCTTTTTTTTTCACACTTGCCCCTCATATGCGTTTTTTTTTAAATTATATTGAATTATTGATGTCACTGGGCTTGGATTATAGAAGGAAGCATCTAAATTTTAAATTATTTATCAAATCTTAGTTTTTTCCATTAAAACAATCCAATTAGTTTTTACCTAACCTAACTTAACCTAAGTAGCATGAACAAATTAGAAGAACAAATGAAGAAAAATCAGTTTGAGTCAAGATTGTGAAAATTAAATCGAAGATAGAACTGGAAGAGAGAGAGAGAGGGAGAGAGAGAGGTTTAATGTTCAATGGTTTGACTGGATTGGATGATATAATAAATATTAAAATCATTTAAATAATATAAAATTGCTACTAATAAATAAATAAAATTCATGAACAAATAATATATTTTATAATTTTAAATTTAAATATCCTCAATCATTAATTTTCGTTCATATTTAATATAAATTTAATTCACATATAAATTTTAAATTTAATTTAAATAAGTACTAATTTATGTTTTATATTAGATATAATTTATACCTATAGATTATATAGAAAATTACATTTATAAATTCATATTGCATCATTTATAATTAAAAATAGATTAAAAATTAGTTTTTATATTATATGATTAAATAGATAAATAGATAAAAATTACATATTATTAACTAAAAAATAAATAATATTTACATTATAAATATTAATAAAAAATTATATTTAAAAATATGTATATGTGTTGTGAACTTGAGAACTTCACTTTAGTTATTTAATCCCACACCGTGTGGACACTTTGTCTTTAGTATTGTTTATATAGATTTTTTTTGGTTTAAGGAGTAAACAAGTTTATTTTATGCTAATTTAATCATACTTAATCAAGTATGTACTTTGGCCTTGTTTGGCCTATTTTAAGTTATCAAGGGTAAAATAATTTCATTTTGGAAATGCTTATCATTATTCTAATGTTGGTACCGTTAAATGCTCTTGAATTTATGTCTACTATTATCATCAATAGATTTTAAAATTTAATTAAAGATGGCTGATGATGGACTAAGGATATGATCTTCCTTTTTTCATCCTTCCTCGGGATTAATTCCTCTCACTTTTTCTTTGACATGAGGTTCTATGATTCTTTATCTTTACCCTTTCCTCCCTGTAGAGGCATTGTTGTATCTATTCTTCTTTATCTCTTCCTTCTATTTACCTATCTAGTACTTATACACTAAATTTTTTACTTTTCAACAAACGGCGGCCTTCCAATGATCCGATTAGGAAAGTAGATGTATAGATTTGGCTTATGTTAAGAAAGGTAGAGGCAAACCTAAAAAGATTTGGTTAGAAAATATTAGAAATGACATTTCTTTCTTAGATTTAAATGATAATTTGATTCTTAACAGAACACATTGAAGAAAATGGATTCATATAGCCAACCTCACATAGTGGGATAAAGGCTTGATGTTGTTGTTGTTGCAACAATCAAGGTATCATAACTACATCTAAATCTTCACTTCCGTTGGCCAGTCACAGATGTCATCGAATTTCGTATTTTAATTGAAAATTGATAAGTTATTTTTTGTGCTTATGCTATGATTCTTTCCGCCTTACATGTGAAAATGTTTAAGCTGTGCGGGAAACTGTGTTGTGGATTTAAAAAAATTGTGCACTTTTATCACTGATGGCTTAGCATTTGGTAAAATTTCAGATGGCACATAAGCATAGTCAATTTGCAATTTAGTGAGGTAAAGAAATGAGCATTGTATGTTGCTATCAATATTTCTGTCTGCTTTCTTGCTTTGCTGACATGTTATTTAGAAAATCTTCTCCCCTCTTTATTCATATCTTTTCCTTGCTATTGTTCTTCGTGGCATTATATAGTTGTTCATTTTAACACTAATGCTTATCTTCATTTGTTCCAGATGTTTTGATGCTAATTTGGTTGAGGTGCCTGTTGAGTGGGAGACACCAGATCATCATTATTATCATGTATGTGCAACCAAAATTTCAAGAATCCTTAAGGCTTTTGTTGTAAATGTTTCTAAAATCCTTGTAAATGATATTTCAAAAAACCTTGTTAAAATACAACGATTTATATTTCATCCATCTAAATATGCAGCTTGCCTATTTTACTACAAGAAAGGTAGAAGCTTTGGAGGAATTAACTAGGGTGAGTTGCTACAAAGTGATATTTTTAATTGTCATTTTATGTTGCTGTTTTATATTTGTTGCACAAGCAAAGTGTAAGCCCATATTTTGTCCTGTTCATGAAGTTTTGAACTAATTGGTTATCATGATTTACAAGCATGTTTTTGATAGAAAACACTTGAAGATCTCAAGAATTTCCTATCAATATTTGGAAAACAGCAAAAATTCTCCGCAAGGATCCACATAAAACCAGGAAAATAGTAGATAATTTTTATTATTTGGTGAAATAGAAATAGAAAATACCAAGATACAATTGATCCTCTATTTTAGAGGAGGATTTGTCTCTCCCAAATTTCTAGACGCCGCCAGAGCCCAAAAATCTAAGAGATCTCAAATTTCAGCCAAATTCAAGATGCCGTAACCCTAGGAAAACAAACTATTGAATGCATACAATCCAAAAGTAAATCTCTAAACAGTCTCTACATTCAAATTTATCTCCTAATCTTCTCCTAAAACCTTCATAATCTTCTCTTTTGGAAAGGGTGGCTTGTGCGGCTCGTACTGGATGTGGAACTTCCGCCTCTGTTCCGCAAGAGCCGGTCCCATGTGGACCGGCTGGACCGGTCTAACAGTTTTTTTGTATTTTCATGATGATCATGGTTCTTTTAATCAAGTAAATTGGTGTGCTGTAAATAGAAGATGCAGCAATTTGTTTGCTAGGTTATTGAATTATATTGTTAAAGAGATTATAATAAATTTTAGGATGACATGTCTGCTTGTCATAATGAAGAGGGCAGCAAATGCTATTTTGGGTGAAAGTGCTGTAGTGGATGGTTACGAACTGCCCTTACGTAACTTGTCTGGCAGTTTCACATACTTTCTGTAAATCCTATTTCTGTCTTTTTTGGATAATTTATATATCTTAATGATGCACGTTCTTGGTGCTACTTTGTGTATAGCTGGTTAGCTTATTGTGGTTCTTTTTATATTTTCTGAAGTTTGTGGCCAGATTTAAGATGATCTCTGTACAAAACTAATCCTTCTTTTAAGTTGAATACAATATGCATTAACTGCACTAAATACTAGGTTTGCTAATTAATGGTGCTTGGACATAACTTTTATAGTGAATGAATCCATGATACTTCAATGCTAGTTTTATGTGCTTCGCCAGTGATCAGATAGCTGCCATTCTGATAATGGGAATAAAGAGATGCCTATTTTTTGTATTTTTGATAAAAGAAAGAACACTCACTTTTCCAATATGAAATACTTTTACATATGATTAGCTATTTAATGAGTCCACCAGCTGAGTACAAAATAATTGCTTGCGAACTTGGGTGTATTCACTTCCAGCAGGCGAAGTGTTTATGTTGGTAATCTTTTGGCAGGATTCCATATGTTTATATATATGCATTTATCAGTGTGCATGATTGTGTGTTTACATTCAAACATTCTTGATTGCATGATTCTTTATTGGTAAATTTCTTTCCTTTGTGGCTTCTGTCATGTTTAATGATCTACATTTATTGTCTTTTGAAGGAAGCTCTTCGCTTAAATGTACACTAATTTGCAGGATTATGGGATTGACTTTAAAGACCATGCACATCCAATCAAGGCCTTTAAATGTCTCTGTGGAAGTAGTATATGTCGAGACAGCTGCCGTTCAAGTTAGTACACCTTGCTTATGTATCTTGTGAGAGTTTCAAATTTATGTAGGACCAATCTCATCATATGCAGAAGGAATAAATATTCTTATCCGAACAAATAAACACAATTTTTAAAAAATTATTTAGAAATGACTTATATTATAATATCAAAAAATTTAAAAAAGCGAGATGAAAATATCCCCTAAAAATTATACCTTATTTTTTGTTGATCTTAAAATTATCAAAACTATTTTTATGAAATTGTATTTATTATTTTGATCTTTTTTTATATCTAGATATTTATATAGATAATGTCATTTTATTAATGTATTTAATTAAGTTTGAGTGTGTTAAACTCTAAGACTATTGATATAATTTTTGATTGAATCAAGAAGGATAGATTACCTTTTGATTAGGCGGGGACTCTTAGAGGAAGAAGAAGAGGAAAAAGAAGAGAAGAGGGGAGAGAAGTAATAGAAGTTTCATTTCCTAAGCAACAAATTACAACAATGGGCTTATTTATAGATCTGTACAAGTGGTTTAAAAGGGATAGATGTCTAAATAATAAATAAACTAGGTTACAATAATAAAGCAATTGCTATAGGTTCATTTCTTAGAAAACCATAGGTTGGTTTAGTCCTTAGACCGATTTTTGGACTGATCACTTACTTTTAGTAGTTATTGGATCCTTTGGATGAATTTCTATTGCATAGAGTTTGTCTTTTGATGTTATCTTCTTCCTTCCTCATCGGTGGTATGCTATAATGTTTGAATTGTTGTTATGAGCTTGTTCTTTTGAGTTATTGATCCATTCTTCATCTTGTATTATATTTGCATCCAAGGGAATGTATTGGTGCTTAACACTCGCGTCCCCATTAAAAATAATCTCATCCTTAAGGTCAAGGGATGGAAAAGAAGAGGCAAGAGCTAAAACATTCTACCGAGTGGTGTTGTCTGGAGTAGATAGTGTCCAATATAAAAATACATGCTTAAGATGTTGTCCATGTAGGCTTATAGTGCGGGTAGCTAGGATGGCAATGGCATAAGGTAGGCTTATTGGTTGGTTATTATGACTAAGAATAGGAGGAGATGTAATTGTAGTGGGTGGAGCACCAAAAAAGGTTTGGGGATGAAGATATGGAAGGCCGGATGAATATACTTTTTGGAGGAAGTGCTAGTTGATATGCTACTGGATTAATAATTGATTGGACTTGAAAGGGTCTAAATAATGTTTAGCTAATTTAGAGTGTGTGCGGTTAACGACATAATTTTGACAAAAAGGTTGTAATTTTACCGTAACCCAATCTCCTACTTATAATTGTAAATCCCGACAATGACGGCCAATCATTAATTTCATTCTATTTTGGGCTTGCTGTATGTTAGTGTGGAAAGTTTGTGAAAGAGTCTAGTGGTTAAGTTAATAATGTATACAAAGTACCAATGTTTGAGGTTCCGTGAACATATGAATGTTGAAGTTGGTAAATGTCTATAGAGTGCCTGATATGGAAACATCTTAATAGCTATGTGAAATGAGGTATTATAAGCGAGTTTGGCCCAACATAGGAAAGTGGATCATAATTTGGACTTGTCAGAAGTGTAGGCACGAAAATATTATTCCAAGCATTTATATATTTCCTATGTCTGGCCATATTCTTATGGATGATAAGCAGTACTATAGTGCAGTGTAGTATCAATTAAGTAAGAGATGGCGCCAAAACTTGCTTAAAAATTACCATCCTTATCTGAGATAATTGATTTTGGAAAATCGTATACATGAACACCATATTGGCAAAGAGAGTGGAGACTTGGAAGGCTAAATAAGTGGTGGGTATGGGATCAAAATGGGGATATTTAGAAAGGCAGACAATAACAACCAAGATAGTAGCGTAATATCTAGAATATGATAGACCCGTTATGAAATGCATGGGCATATCCTCCAATTAGGCACTAGAGTATAGGAGATTGCAGGCCAGTAGGTGCCATGTTAGAGGATTTGATTTCTCAACAAATGGGGCAATAATGAACAAATTTAGCAATATTTTTATGTAAGCATTGCCAATTAAATCTTGAAGTGAGGTTTTTGATAGTTTTAAGTGTATTGTTGTGACCTGCAAGAGGCATAGAATGAAATTATATACGTAACATTTTTTTGAGCATAAGCTTTACTAATCTAAATGCAGTTTTTATAATATAAAAGATTATCCCTGATATGATAATTTATAGCAAATAGTTCCACATTCATCATTTGTGATGTAATTTGAAGTATCTTTGGAGCAGTGAGAGATTCCTGTTTTAATTGTTGAAGAAAATGAAAAGAAAACTTTTTTTTAATTAATGAAAACAAAGATTCAAGAGAAGAGATATAAAACTCCCTGACATAAGGTATATACGAGATAAAGAGTTGTAGACAATATTTGATTTTCCGTGCTTATATTCAATTGTGAAGTTGTAACTTAAAATCTTATTAAGGTAATATTGTTGATTGGAAGATGTTAAAGTTTAATTTTGTAGTTCCCTAAGGCTTTTATGATCGGTGCGAATGATAAATTGATTATACAAGAGACACTAGTTCCATTTGTAAACAACTTCTGTAATAGCGTATAATTCTTTTAAATAAGTGGGTGATTGAGACAAGCATAGACCCGATTTCTTACGAAAGAAAGAAATAAAATGATTATTTTACAATAAAATAACATCAAAAATAGTGTGACCAATGTCACAGTCATATGTTCATAATACAAATGATTTAGTGAAATTAGGTAGAGCTAAAACAGGGGCAGAAGTCATGGCTAATTTAAATTATGAAAAATGGTGGACGTAGTAGTGTCCCATTTAAAAGCATCTTTTTTAAGAAGATTGATAATAGTGTATCAATAGAAGCATTTTTGGAAAGAAAATGACGGTAGTAACCTGTTAATCCTAAAAAGGATCTCAGATGTCTTAAGGAAGGTGAAATAGGTTAGTTAAGTGTAGCTTCAATTATCTTTGGATCAGCTTTAATACTAGTATACTACTAGTGGTGACAATGAGACCAAGATATTCAATTGAAGTTTGACAAAATTGACATTTAGTTAGTTAAAAAAAAAAGATGATTATCTTGTAGGCATTTAAAAACAAGTTGGGGATAATCAACATGAAGAGATAAGGTGTAGAACTATTAATGATAATATCATAAAAAAATTATTATTACGAATTTATGAAGATAAGAACATAAGACTTCAGCTATTAAGGCTTGAAAGGTAGAAAAGTGTATTTCTTTGTCCAAAAGGCATCACTAAGAATTCACAATGTCCATCATGTGTGCAGAAGGCTATTTTATGAATGTCTTTTGGGTGCATTTGAACTTGATGATAGCTAGAACATAGCTTAAGTTTAGAAAAAAATAGTGGTACCATATAATTCGTCTAATAATTCATCCATTGTATGGATAAGACATTTATCTTTAATAATTAGGGAATTAAGTGCTTGAAAATCCTCACAAAAATGCCAAGTGCCATCATGTTTCTTAGTCAAGGGTACTTGCCGGAGAAATGTCTATGACTATGGCAAATAATTCTTGATTGTAACATTTCCTTAACTAATTGTTCTATTGCATCTTTTTTAAAGTGAGGATATCGGCAATGACAAATATTGACCGGTTTGGAAAGTGAAGGAAGGTTTATATGGTGATCAATAGGACGTGGTGGTGGTAGGCCTTGTGGAAATTTAAATAGATGCTTAAATTATAGTAATAGATCGACGATAAAATCATGTAAAGGGTTAGTGATGGATGAAAGGGTTTCGTCAAGTGTTTTGGCATTCAGAGTGTCATTAATTAGAAGTTGAGAATGAAGGGTAAATATTTATACTGATGGAGAATGGCTAAATGGGATAGTAAAGCACAAAACTAATGCAAGGATATGGGGTCGACAATTAATTATGATTTCCTATGAATAATAATATTACAGTTATGATCAGTAAATTGGATGGTAATTATGTAAAACAAAACTTAACGATATAAGCCATTGCATGCCTAAGACAATGGTTGCTCCGTGCATAAAGAGAATGAATAAATCTAAAATGATTGAATACAATTTATGTTTATAGAGACTTTGGAACATTTTGAATTGCAAGCTAATAAATTGCCATTGCCAACTGAAACATTAAATTGTTTAATTCGTTGAATGTGAAGGCCAAGTTGGTGTATGATATAATCTTGAATAAAGTTATGAGTGTTACCACTATAAATCAAAATATTGACGTTATATTCATTAATATAGTCAGCTAAACGAAAAGAACATATATTGAACTGGTCAGCTTGAGCATTTATACTTATTTATGGAGATGAACTCTGAGAATCAATGCCATTAGGAGAATGTTGCTAGTTGTCTATAGCATTAGAATCATCAGCACCTAGTAAGAGATAAAGCTTATTAGGGCAACGATGTTGAGGGCTAAATTTTGAATCACAAGTAAAACAAAATCCTTTTTTTTGTAACAAATTTTAATTTTTGAAGGAGATAGCTTCCAGATGGGTAGAGTGAGAAGTTTTGATGAGTGATTTGACGAAGTGTGCGTAGACGATTGGCTAATAGGTGAGGGCGTGTAAGAGTGTGTAGGTTTGTTCGTGGTAATGGGTGGAAATGATTTCTGCCATGTGAGGAAAAAAGTGCAAGAAAATCTTGAAATTTAGATTCATGGTGACGAGCCAAATGAGTTAGGGCATCTAAAAGAGAAATGAGTTTGACTAATAAAAGTTCTTCACGTAATTCTTATTTGAGATTAGAAATGAAATAAAATGATAAGAGTAGATTCAAATATATTTATAATTTTGAAAACAAGCTTTTAAAAGTTGTTTGATATTCGAGAATGGATGGTTGTTAAGTTAATTTGAAGAGATTGGCATATAAATCTTTGTAGGAAGAAATAACAAAACGTTGTCGCAATAATATCATGAATTCGGGCCAGGAAGGAGTTTGGCCTTTCATGTGAATCCATTGATATCATGTAGACGTAAAACATTCAAGATGAAACGAAGCAATTCTTATGCGGTGGTAATCTAGTGTATTATGAAAATTGAAATATTCTTAGGCTTTAAAGATCTATGTTTCCACATCGAATCCGTTAAAGTGAGGAGGTTAGATTTTCATGTTTTTAAGGAAAGGTAAATCTACATTGGCTGGTGAGTGTTGAGGAGTTAGAAATCGTTTGACAGATCCAAGAATCCTGGTGGATGATGGTGGTTCTTGATGGGAAGAAGAAGGTGGACGGCCAAAGCTGAGGCTGTCGAGGTGCTTGTCGATGGAGTCTATAAATAATTAAAATTGTTGTAATGTTGTTCCGATGGAAGCAAAATGAACATCTGCTTGTGATAGAGATTTTTGAATTTCAGAAAATTGTTGAGTCGTAAGTAGATTGCATGGTAAGTAAAACTTCTGCCAAAATCTGTGTTTTTTAATCTTTAATCAATGATTAATGCATCCGAACAGCAGATATTGGGATCTGCTTCTTGAAATGAATTTGTTCTTGATGGGCTGCGAGAGAAACCATGAAAGAAAGCTTGGGTTGAAAAGTATGTTCCCAATGGAGGCGTGGAGTGCTAAATGGTGCAACAGAGCAAAGCTTGGCTGAAAAGAGAAAAAAGTTGTAGACGGCTGCTGAAAAAGCGCTTCTGAACATAGCCTGTGAAGAAAATTGCTAAAAATGCTTCTTGCAGCCGCTAAACGGGGGGAAATTATTTGGTTCGGTCACCAGACGCATCTCTACATCCGGAATCCAATAACAAGATGGCACGTTGCGACCCAACGAACCCACTCTATTTATTTAGCACGTGCTTTTCCATTTACCTTTTACCGCACGGTTTCCCTGAATCGAACCGGGTTCCCCGCGAAATTTTGAAAAAGGCCGCTCTTTTTTGTTCTGTTTTATGAGAAATTGATGTTTTTTTTCTACATCCCAAAGGGGCGGTTAGTTGGGAGGATTTATTGGATGCCCCTTGCTGAAGGCGAGGAGAAGAACTGTGACCCGTGGATGGAACCCGTGGAAGAAGGAAATGGAGTACCAGTGCAGCAGCAACTTATGGTGGTTTGAGAGTGTCGAGGATCTCAATGAGAGCACCAATTAGTATGCTTCTTAATTGAATCAAGAAGGATATAACACCTTTGAGCAGGCGGGCATTCCTAGAGGAAGTAGAAGAGGAAAAATAAGAGAAGGAAAGAGAATAGGCAAAATTTTCACTTCTTAAACAACAAATTATAACAAGTGGCTTACTTATAGATTTTTACAAGTGATTTAAATGGGCCAGCTGTCTAAATAAACCAGGTTACAATTTTCACCTTTGGGATCATTTCTTAGAAAAACTATGGGTTGGTTTTGTTCTTAGATTGATTTCTAGACCGACCGCTGACTTGCGGCAGTTATTGGATCCTTTGACTGAATTTCTATTGCATAGAGGTTGTTTTTTGATGTTATGTTTTCCTTTTTCGTTGGTGGTACACTATAATGTTTGAATTGTATAATGAGCTTGTTCTTCTGAGTTATTGATCCATTCTTCTTATTGTTTTTGTATTATATTTGCATCCAAAGAAATGTATTATTGCTTAACAACTATTCATCCTTATCTTATAGTTGGAGGCAAAAAAAAAAAGTGGGGCTCGGGTTAGGTTGACATAGGAAAATAAAGGAGGAAAGAAGAAGGGAAGATGGAAAGAAGCGAAGAAGAAGGGAAGAAAAGAAAAAGAAAACGAGGAGGAAAAAAAAGGAAAGAGGAGGAGAATTTAAAATTTCTGATAAGAACATGATTTTTGTATTTGAATTGAGTTTGGATTCGATTTTGTAGGATTGAAGGTTTCTTCTTAAAATCTGGAAATTCATTTCGATGAAGATTGTATAACCCAGGTGAAATACGTAGGGTCTGTTTGGGGTGGATGTAGCGTTTTATAAAATTAGTTGTGAAAGTCGATATGAGGAAAGTAACTTAGGGTCTGTTTGGGACAGCTTACTAGCTGCTTTGATTTTTAGATAACAATCATAATTTATTTAACTATTGTTTTCCTGTTGTTTTCTCATAGCTTTTCAGAAATTTCTGTGGTGGAAAGTTTCTTTTTGTAATCGTGGTAGTTAAGTTGCTTTATGCACATTAATTTTACAACCAACTTTATAAAACGTTGCAGTTGTTCCAAGCAAACACTTAATCTCTAATATAGGAAGCAAATTATTCTTAGATGTATTTTTGTTAATTTATATAATTCCACTGAACAACCATATGCATGCAAGTAGATATTCTTCATATTGAGCATGCATAATTATATTAACACATCCATGCATTTTTATATGATCACTTCTTTAAATAAATTCAAGGTATTTTTAATTAATTGAATTCATAAAATTGGTTGACAGAATATAATGTTATGCAAGTACTTTGATGTTGACTTTCACACATCATAGTTATCTTTGATGCAGCATGTAGCTTATTAGATGTTATGATGACCATTTTTCAGGAAAGAGAAAGGAGCAGGTGGGATCATAGCAGGTGACTATACTTATCATGTACCCTTTTGGGATGTAATGTAGAAAATAATGCCGATGATGCTAATTAAAGACTTATATTATGTATAAGTTTTCTATGAAATTATCAAAAGCTCTGTAATATTTTTTGATAATTCAAATTATGCATGCTTCCATGTCAATAAGTATGATAAATTTATTAAAGAATGTGATATCTTTGTGACCATCTAAGTTGACTATTATTCACTCATTCGATTCTAATTAGTAAAGTGTTGGTATGAAAATGGTCAGAAAGGGGTCAAAATGGATAAATTATTTTGTGCGGAGGTCGAATGCTTAATGTCGTCTGGAGGCCAATCAGAATGCGTCACATTAGCGGTACCGAGCAAAGGGTGATGTGATGTATTTTGGCTGATCTCCGAATGATGTTCGACGTCCGCATAGAATAATTAATCATCAAAATGAGGTGTGACATATACATGTCCACTAAATGTGATTGTTCTAACAAATATTCTATTAAGTGATTATATGTTAGGTCGAAATGTTGATGAAGGGGCGGTTAACGTTTCAGCATATATATACAATATTGGTCAATTAATTATGATAAGTTTAGTGAAATTATCTCTTTAGGGCATCTCCAGTTGAAAATCTCATTTTTCACTTCAAAATACAGTAAAATAAAAAAATGCCGTGATTCATCTTCAATCGAACGTCATTTTGCCATGTAACCGTCGTTCTCTTTTTTCGCGCCTTTCTTCCGAAAGTTCGGTAGAGATAAAAAAATGGTGCAGATGAACAGTGCAACGTCAATATTGGCGTCGCATTGTTCATCTGCGATCAAATGGTGTAAAAAATGACGGTCAGTTGAAGCAAAGCAAGAACGGCAAACAAGTATTTGTCGTTCCATTGGAGTTGCCCTTTGCATTTCGTAACTCTCATGATTCCTTGTGCCCCTCCCCTCATAGCTAAGTTTTTAAGGCTATTTAAATATAATGCTTTTTAAAAAAAAATATTTTGCCATTTTTTGTAGAAAGAAAACTAAAGACAGACTTTTCTTTTATTAAAATAAATCACAGCCGCTTATTTAGAGATCAAAGGGTGTAAATCAATCATATAGAAAAATTACCTCGGCTGTTCATCCGGCGGCCCAATTTGGACAATCCATGTCGACATTAACAGCCGCCACCAAGAGAAGGACATTTTCGTAAAATCGTAATACAACGAAACCCTAGCGAGCCCTCTATAAAAATGGAGAGCATCTATCTCAGTTGTTTGACAGTACTGGTTTCTTTCGAAGATGTCGAAGCGGGGTAAGCCCTTCCTCTTCCGTCTTTCTCCTTATGTAGTTTTATTCGATATAACTCTCATACAAGTTTATATTTGTTCGTCATGCTGGTTCTAACGGAGGATGCATTATATGTTTGTTACGATGAACTCAGGGCGCGGAGGTAGCGCCGGAAACAAGTTCCGGATGTCGCTGGGTCTCCCGGTTGCAGCCACGGTGAACTGCGCTGACAATACTGGTGCGAAGAACCTGTATATAATCTCTGTGAAGGGGATCAAGGGACGTCTCAACCGGCTCCCATCCGCTTGTGTTGGTGACATGGTTATGGCCACCGTCAAGAAGGGCAAACCAGATCTGAGAAAAAAGGTCATGCCCGCTGTCATCGTACGGCAGCGCAAGCCTTGGCGTCGAAAGGATGGAGTCTACATGTACTTCGAAGGTACAAATCTCGCTTGGATTTTGCTTACAATTTGATTTTAGATTTAATCGATTTTTTTGACGGAGCATTACAGCCGAAATAAATTGCATGAATAGGGTATGTGTGGATTGCTTTTAAATTGAAGTTTTTTTTTTCCGCCAAGAAGCCTGTTGCGTAATTATGTTTTGTAAAACTATCTTTTTGAGGCGGGGGTGTTACTCATTTCTGGATTAATTTACTTTCGCAAATTGAAGTTTTGCTTAATATAAGTATTTTTGTTGCTTTTTTTGTGACGGAGGGAACTTTTCTGGGTTAAATTTCCCTCAACTTGCTGGAGCAAACCCTTAATGTTTGCATGTTCCTAAGTAAACGTCAAATATAGAGATTAGAGTTGTTGATGGTTCTTATGTTCCTCCATCTTTAACGGTCTCATATTCCATCGCCTTAAGTAGTGGCGTTGCTGCTATTACCTTTTGGGACTGGCCATGAGGCAAACATTTTCGAAATGTGCTACAAGCTGGTTTTGGCATGTTGGTAATTTCTTAGCATTTAATTTTGAAGTTTGAAATTATATTAAACATGCTATTTTTCTTTATCGTAATGTATGAATTATTTATTTATGTTTTTGTTTTGGAATGGCTTGTATTTTTTGTGATTTTTGGCTTGTTTAAATCAACTTGAAAACTTTGGTTTATTTTTTTTGGAATGCAATAAAATCATTTGGAATTTAAAAAGCAATTGAGAATTAAAGTTCATAATTTCCCTACTCTTAAACATTCTTAATATTTTTGTGGTATTATTGTAAAACTTGTGCCTTTTTTCTAAAATTATGGAAGATTGTTGTGTGACACTGGAAATTGCCCTTATTTTTTTTACTGAATTCACTTGTAAAATTTATGTTTTGTTGAAGTGAAATGTTCATTTTTTGTTTTCAAGATAACTTAATATTTCTTGTAATGGTTTTAAATATTGAGTATTGCATGATTTGTTTCTAATTAAGCTGAATCAGGCTACCTTGTTGAGAAATATTAGCTTTCGTTGCAATGATTGTTAAATATTGGACATTATATGATTTGTTTCTAATCAAGGTGGTATATTTCCTTTTTTTTTTCTACTGGTTATGAGAATATCTGTTTTATTATATTTTGCTTTTGATGTTCTTTAGTTACCATAAGTTTGTGCTGATTGTAAATAATAGAAACCTTTTTTTCCATATAGCTGCCTTTTGAATTTGGATAATCTTAAATTGGCACCATGGTAGTTTGAGAGCATATAAATAACTGTTTGTAAAGGTTTAACAGTATCGTTGAAGGTACTTTCCAAGAGGATTTTAGACTGTTAAGCATTGATTTCTGCAGCCAATGCCCATTTAAACTGTCTTTTATCTTTATAGACATGCAGGAGATTTTGTTTGCAAATTTCTTTTTATGTAAAGCTGATTAGATTTGCAAATTTGCCTCATTCCATGGTAAATGTCAAGATCTTTTGCTGGGATTTCAAGGTCTTTTGTCCGAAGTTTTTCTTTCTGGCATTCCACTTGTAGCATCATTTGTTGCAATGACATTTTATGCTATCAATTAAAGTTACTATTATACTTACGTACTCTGAGAGGCAAGAAAAGGTTGTGTTGCCAAATTGTGGTTTTATTGATTTCTCCGTCCACTATTGGTCCAATATAGGCGTTTTTTTCCTGGCATTTTATATTTGTAGATTTGATTTTCTTTTAATGGCTAAATTGATATGTTTGCTTTTTGGTTTTCTGAATATTAAGGTGTTATTATTCATATTCTTTTTTTATCAGATTTTATGAAATTTCCACAATATGCACATCTTGTTGAAAAAAACTTTGATAGCTTGCGTTTTCTATTATCGTTATCACCTGATAATTTTGCTTTTATGAAGTATAATATTTAGTATAAATTCCTTATGTTGAAGATCTCAATATTATTCCATTTATTCTCCATTCGGTATAACTGCTTAAATACTTTCAGGATATTTTATTATATGCCCTTCATAATCAGAAAGCATATGGTATTTTCATTCTTTAAATTTTATTCAAATTATGATATTATTATTTTATCTCAACTGCACTTATACATGTTATGATTTATGATCGTTTATTAGAATTGCGCTGCATCATATGGAAATCGTTTCTCTTGTCAAAGATAACATAGCTATGGTAGACTCATCTCATTGGAAGATTGATTTTGTCTCGAATGTTCAGAGTTAACATCAGATAATTAGCTTGAATGGTGATGTAATTTCTTGTAATCATTTAGTATTCGGATATTAGAGAAATTATTAGTTGGCTCAGCATTGTGGACATTCAATTAGGCAATTTTTTTGGAAAGTAATTAGGCATATTTGTTTTTGTGTTCTGATTGGTTTTTTTTGTACATAAATAAGTATAGCAATAAAAAATCAAATTTGACTTGTTAGTTCATCAAGCTCTACTCAAAAAATCATTTATCAAGTCGAGTTTGAGCTGACCTATGAGTTAGCTTGACTCACTCACACCCTTAATTTGGGCCCAAGAATTTGGCATAAAGGGTAGCTGGGTCTCTACTATTTTATTATTTCGGTATTGATTATGTTCAAATGTTGTATTAATATTTGCTTCGCTTCCTATTTTTTATCACCTGATCTCTATTTTTTGCTTCAGATTCCATTATCTTAGTATTCCACTCCATAATGTTGCTCCTCTACTTCAGGATGATGCTCTTGTATATATCATTCACAGTGGGGAAGCATATAAAATATTTTGGCCAGTATTAAACAGCATAATGTTATTACTTACATTGTGTTACCTGTCTCCTGGGACATAATCTTAATTTTCATAATTTTATTTTTATCAATCAATTTCCAAATGATTATAGTGCTTCATTTCTATTCTATTGTGTTCACCCCTAGAGGTTTATTTCCTTTTGTATTCTGTAGTCTTTGTTTAAATTCTCCTCTTTCGGATCTAGTAGATATGTTGGTTATTTTATGTAAATATGTTGGTAATTCTATTGTTTGTACTGCTGTGCAGATAATGCTGGTGTTATTGTGAATCCAAAAGGGGAAATGAAAGGTAATTAGTTAGCTGGTCTGGTCCATCTGCATCAGATATTTAATTTATTTTTAATAACTACTTATTGATCAATTTATCATGAAAAGTTTTTAATTTATACGTTCCTATTTTGGTACAGGTTCTGCAATTACAGGACCTATTGGGAAGGAATGTGCCGATTTATGGCCAAGGATTGCTAGTGCTGCGAATGCAATTGTTTAGTTACATTCAGGAAAGTTTCAAGTTGTCCTACAGAACTGCCATGCTCCTTTTTAAATTTTTTGCTACAATATTATTTTCTTTGAACTTTGAGCTAATTCTGTAATGCATTGAACCAATAAATTTTGTGAAAGCTGATGTTGAGAGAAAGTTTAATTTCGTTACACATTTAGAATCTGTGTTAAGCGGTCATGTTTTATGTTGATTGCATGCTCTTGAAACCGATCACCCTCATAAAGAAGATGTATTCAGAACCTTAGTTTTTTGGTAAGGGCATCTCCAACCGAAAATCTCATTTTTCACTCCAAAATGCATTGAAACTAAAAAATACTGTTATTCATCTCTAATGGAATTTCATTTTGCCCCATAAACCGTCGTTCTCTTCATTCACGCTTTTTTTTCAAAGTTCGGTAGAGATAAAAGAATGCCGCAGATGAACATTGTAATGCCAATATTGATGTTGCATTGTTCATGCGCGATCAAATGCCGTCAAAAATGGCGGTCTGTTGGAGCAATGCAAGAATGACAAACACTTGTTTGCGCCCTAATAGAAATTTTCTACGAAATGGTACAATTGTTTTTGAAAGGGCAATTTTTTGAAAAATATTTTTAAAAATACAAAACTTTCGAAAAAAAAAAAAAAATGCTCGAACTTTACCTATTTAAATTTAATAATCATACCTGTTGGATTTCAATTATGTGATTATTCAATATTTAAATATTCGAGTTATTCAAAATATATAATCTATTCAGCTGTTAAAAATGTAAAAATAGTCGACTTAGTAAATCCGTTAATGTATACAGCTTTTTCCATTAAGTGTAATTAAATTATGATTTAAGAAAGCGATAGGATATTATTCAGTATTTTACATTTTTTTTTTTTGAAAAATTGGACAACACTTTTATAAAGCTCTTATAGTAGGGGTGAAGTAAAAAATTTTTATTAATGGGCTTATAAAAAAAATTAGAAATTAACATTTATATATATATATAATTTTTAATGATGCAAAATTATATCAAAATAAGAAATTGTGAAATTACTTTTTTAAAAAAAAAATTCAGTTATATTTTAAGTAAAAAAGGCCAGATATAAAAATTCCACCCATATTTTTAGTAAAGCTTGTTATAAAAAAATATTTTTTTCATTACAATTTTCTTTAAAAAATAACAAAAATATAATAGACAAATGAAAGCATAATTACAATATGAAAAAAATGAAGCAGTAAAAGAATATCCTAAAGAGATCTTAAAAGTCTCCTTTTTTAAATTAATTTTAAGGCATTTATCCAAATTTTCTTTTGTATTTAATCGAATAATAAATTGACAAATTTATTTATTTTTTAATATAAAAATTCAAATCAAACGAGAGCCAACATCCATCCATGAATTTTTTCTTTCTTTTAACAGTTTTATTATTTTATATTGAAAGTTGAAACCAATATCGGCCCGGTCCGGTCCGCCCACGACCCCGCATGTCGACCCGCCGTGAAGGCTAAAGGCGGGAAGTACAAACGGAGAGGTAAAGGTATCTCCTTTCTTTTTGGATCCCCTGCACCCGAATATCGATCGACCATTGTTGCTGTTGGAAATAAGATGAGTTGGTCTCATCCCGATATTTCAATGGAAGAACTCGTCGATCGGATCAAAGGCTTCGTAGACATACTTGTTCTGGCCTCTGGCTACCAATCGTCCGGTCTTCCTGCAATCTGGGACGTTGACAACATCAAGAAGGCCGTGAGATGGGGTCTCTTCTTCGAAGATGTAAGCAATACGATTCCTCTTTGCTCGTAGTTGTGAATTAAACGCTTATTTGTTGAATCTTCTACATGCCAACATTGCTAGGGTTTCTGCAGTTCCTAACTTCGCATTTGTTGCTGTTCAGGTGTTGAAAAGCTTGCGGCTTTATAGTAATTATGTGGAGTCTGTGAAGGAGCTTGATGCGGCTCTGTTCAATCTGACTTCAGATCCAATTTTCCCTCTGGTCAGTAAGCTTTTATGGATTTACTGTCAATAGAAATGTATAATATGTTTTTTTTTTCCTTTGCTCCAATTTAATTTTATGAAATTTATTTTTTTAACTAATAAACGGCAGGGTCTTGCGCATTTATCATCTGCAACTCTTTCTAATGCGAGAAGATTTGTTTTAGAACACTTACTACAGACTCACCCAATAAAGGATGAGCATTTGATTGCCATTCTTAGAGCTGTTGTTGAAATGGACATTGATGAACTCTCAGAAGCACATAATGATTGTCCAAAGGTGTATATTGACAGGCTCACATTGCAAATGGATTCACTAGAGCTTGCAGCAGCAGGAAAGGGCTTGACAAAGGCGGATAAAACCTCGATGCCTGAAGATGATCCCAATACTTCTAAATATTTGAAGCAAATAGATCAAAATCTTCTTACAGACCCTATATTTAATGATGAAACCCGGGGATGCATTGGTGCTGATGCTTCCTTCTTTGTTATTCAAGAAATTTTAAAAAGGCAGGCAGTGATGTCCCGTATGTCTTCTATTGAGAAAGGCTTAAATAGTCTTTCAGAGATTATCACAAGGAATACAGTGGGATCTGAGAAAATAAGGTTTGAGTGGAAATCAGTTGATGGTGCATCTTCAGAGTAAGTTTTATTTATTTATTTATTTATTTATTTATTTATTTTAATTTTAATAATAATCTGATTTTCTTCTGGTTTTATGTGCCAATGCATGCGTGAATGTCTTAATTTGTCACTGTCCGTTTGATCTCTTTGAGGATGTATCAATTTCTTGTTTTCCTATGTACATGAAACATGAAAATTACTTATTTAAGCCATAATTATTAATAACTACAGACCACCTGTCATTGGATTAGTAAAATAGCATCTGGAAAGCCTTTAATTATTCTAAAGATTGATTGCGAGTGGCATTTAATGTTTCATTGGGTTTATCATGAAGATACTATGGGAAATATGTGGGATTATATTGATCTTAGAAAAGCTTGACCACTACTTAAAATCATTCATGATTCTAAGAAGTAGTTAACTTTGCGTTGGTGATTATTATCATTATTTTAGTATTTTTTCATGGGATTCAAGCATTTGACTTTTTTAGAGGGAAAATATAAATATTTCCAGGTCACTTGATGAACAATTCTTCAGCAAGTAATGGTGATTTACAAGTCTCTTTGACACTGAGCCAAGAGCCTAAACACAGGTTAAGTTACTCAGGCTTATTGAGTTCTATAAAGAATGGTAATTATAATTATATAATATAAAACTGTGCTGGGATGGTGCTTTTGATCTAAATTTGTTAACATCAATATTCTTACAGCGAACTATGTCCAGATTTGGTTCCTTTTTTGGCATTAGGTGCATTTTGCATAAATCCTATTGTGGTTGTAATCTTGTTGGCATGGACCCAATAAAGGCTAAAAGATTGCCACTTTTGTCCTATAAATTTGTAACATTGTATTGTAATTTACGTGGTTGCACTCTTTTCAGCTCAGCCAGTTGGGTTTAGTTTTTCTACTAGAAATTATGGCTGCTAATAAGTAGTGTTATTTGCTTCTGTTGTTAAGGTATGCGGGAATTTATTATATTTTAAAGTTTTCAAGCCTGCATGTTTGCTAGACTAAGAAACGGTATCAATATGCTCACAATAATGTTTTAAGTTTTACTGGAGAAACATTTGGTGTTCTCTCTCAGCGGCGATCAAATATTGATGGAGCTAGAACAGTTTAGTCAGTGGAGATCAAGGTGTCTCTCATATTTGCTAGACAAGAGAACAATCAAATTGCATTCTGGTGCGGAGTTGATTTTTCAGGCACCCAAGGAGCAGTGGATTCAAATTTTTGAAGGGTTAAAATCTTCGACATGTCCTGATAATTTTCTTGAAATTATGGTAATTTGATATAATGGATTATTTGTTATATTTTCTTCTTGTTTTTTTGAGTCTCCTAAGTCATTCAATACTGTGTAATTTTGAAATTGAATAGTTTAGAATGCGGCAAATAATTATGTAACATAATCTTTGTTGCTTGTGCATTTCACGGATTTATGGATAGACTGATCATTGCAATTTATTGTATTCAAAGGAATGGTTAGTGTTTGCCTAAGATTTCCAATTTTGTAGTATGAATGTATACTAATTTTTTTTTTCTTCAAGAGGGGAGAAACCAAAGAAATTATATTGAGAAGATTTTGTCACACTGCAGGTTTGAAAGATGATACACCACAGCAACATGAAACGTGATGAAGGGATATGAATATATTTTTTGTACTCTAAAAAAAGTGTATATACAAGTACTATTAATAGAATATATCAGAGTAAATAATGAAAGAGAAACTAAAATAGTATATTAACAAAATAAAATTACTACATGCAAAAGAGATGAAAGAAATATCTATAGAAATGAAACTACATAACCCTCAAAAGGAAATACATGAATGACCTACCACAAAATATAAAACTATCAAATCCATTCTACAAGATGATCCCCGTAACACCTTGGCTAGACCTATTATGAAAAGAGGTAACAAGGAGTGAGTTTGATAAATCAAACCCAATAAATAACTTCTATCTGTTAAAGCATAAACAATAAGGAAATGAAACATGCAACCTGAGCAATCCAAGATGTAAAAATGGCTATATAACAACAGATAATCGATCTATCAATATAACAATGCCACATGTCATAGTTTCTACAAGTTTTAATAAGATGATATTATTAACGTGTATGCCAAACTGTTACTTAGGTGGTATCAATCAAATGTTTACACATACAATTACATTATGTATGCTTATCAGTCATTTATTGTATTTTGAATATATAACATCACTATCTGCCTTAGCCCAGCTAATTGGTGGTGGTTCTATGAGAACATATATGGATGATGTATAGTCCGAAGATCAGCACTGCTGTACATGATCTGCAACATTACAGCTGTTTAAACTTTAAAATATAAAGTTTTTGATGACCTCATGCATATCTATTATCTATTGCACAATTTAAAAAGTTTCTTTAAAAATGTATCATTAGACTGATGAGAGCTTAGGATACCTAGCCCACAATGCTCTTGATTCAGAACAATAAATTTTTTTTTTTCAGGGGGGTGTAGATGGTATATAAAAATATGTCTAATGAAGTTGAATCTATAAACGATGATTGTGTGATCTTCCCTTCAATAGTTTAGACTTCAATAATTCATATTTGTTGTTGTCATGATATCCCAATTAGGAGAGAGAGGTTGGGAGGTTTCTCAATTATGCTAAATGTGTTGCAATAAATCTACTGAAGTCAAACAAAATTTTGTTCTATTATAAATTAACTTACAATCCATTACTCCATGGTTTTACAGGAGATCTTGCTACTGGGGCTTATTTCAAGCAAATGGAATTACGTGATCCAGAATTTAATATCACTTCCTTGTGATTTCCTCTCCATCATGACGAAACTCTCCGATCTACGTGAATTGCTTCAAAGAAATACCCCATTTTTGTTTTCCGATAAGGTAGTAACGGCTTTTCAAGGTACAAACTAAAAAATTATTTAATTTGGATCATAAACCACAGTACATTTTGAATGAAAGTAAATACAAGTGAAGAGTTTTTCTCAACTGCTTAATGCAATAAACTTTTTGTCGTGAGATAATTATGAGGACATTCGACTTTGGAGAGTCTACCAGAGGTGTGGCCGTCGATCTACGACCACGGTTGCACCGCTTTACTTTTGATTATCATTGTATTAGATTTTTTATTGATGTATTAGTTTATTATATTTATGAGTTGTATTATACCTTCCCTATAATACCCTCATTTGAGGGTCTAGTCATGTGTAAGCCCTAGGGGCATGTTGGTCTTTTATGCTCTTTCATTATATGAGGCTATTTAAAAGCCACTTCCTCCTCTTTTAAGGTTAATGATGATTATTACAAGAAATTTCTGCACTTGTATGTTTTGGGAGAGCTTGAGAGTTCTTGGAGAGATTGAAGTCCCTAGGTGAGGGCATAACAATACCCACCAACCACAGGAAGTGTCCGGGTTCGTGGTTGATTCCTCTTTTTCTTTCCTTCCCTCCTCCCCACAAACTGCCGGCCACATCCCCCCTCCATCCCTCTCTCAACTGAACCCCACAAACAACATAACCCCAACTAGCCACTCCATCTCCCACCTCCAAGCCACCGACCTCCCTCTCTTCCCCTCCTAGCCGCCGGGTTCCTCTTTTCCCCCCATCTTTTCCCTCCTAAAGTTATTCTTTCCTAAATTAAGTTGTTTTTAATTATGGTAAGTTTTTGAATTCAAATTCAAACGAATTTGAAATTTCAAATTCTTGCCTTAATTTTTGGAAAGTCTTCCCTCAATCAAGTATTGATTGAGAATCAATTTTAATTCCCACATTCATTGAATCTGGACAACTCCCCTCCCCTCCCTCTTTGGCTGGCCCCTCTTTCTCCCTCCTTAATTAATTAATTCCTTAATTGGGCTTTCAATTAGGGGAATTAATTAACAAATCTCTCTCTCCTCCTTCCCTCTCTCTTATCTAATTAATGCATCCAATTAAATACCAACCAATCAAGCCCAATCAAGTTTGATTTGGCCGAGCCCCCTTCCCTCCTTTCTCCAATCAATTAAGAAATTTAAAACTCAAATTTCCCTCCCCTTTTCTCCACCAAATCTGAACCAAAAGTCCCTAATTTACCCAAGCTTGGCCGGCCCCTTTCTCCCTGATTGGAATTAACTCTTTTCCCCTCCACTGATGTTGATCCCAATGGATTTCCACTTAGTCAATTGCTGTCCAGATTTCCTGGATATACCAGAATTGCTGTCTTGAAAGTCCAGCCTCGGTTACTTGCTCTTCCAACATCTGGGGATCCGTTGTTCTGTCCAGAATGTCCCGGTTGTTGTCCTGAAGATTCCTAATTGTTGTCCAGAGGTTCTAGCAAGCTTATATTGCTGTTCCGCCATCCGGAAGGTTCTTGTTTGCTGCCCGGAATGCTCTATATGGCTATCCTCACGCGGAACTTTCTCGAAATCGACCTCCAAGACTCCGAATCTTTCTCCTCTCACTTCAAATCAAGCCTAATAACTTGACGAAGGTGAACTCTTCCTCCAAATTTTATATCTTTCTAATTGCTCTCAATTGTGATTATAATTGATTCATAACGATTGTGTTAACTCCCTTCGCTAAGCCTAGTAATCTAGAGGGTGAGCTGACTCATATGGTGCCTAATCTCCTTGATAATGTCTCGCTGAAGTAACTTATACATTTATCCACTTGTTTCTTGATCTCAGCATGTTCCTTGGGGTTCATACGATGGTGGGGTAGATTGGATAAGGAGGCTCTAGGGACAAAATCTATAGCATGTTGTATGTCTCTAAGCGAGGGTAATTAATCAGGGTGATCATCAGGGAAGACATCAGCAAAATCACTCAGTATAGGTTGGACCTCATGAGGGATAGGCTCGTTAGACTCAATAGAAGTCTCACGACCGACTAAGGCGGACAACGGTGCAACTTGGATAATTCAGAATTTAGAACCTTGGCGGTCACAAGGTTCAGTCCTTTCTTGGGTTTGACAAAATTGGGTTTAAGATCATCCTTAACCCGGGGCTGCGATTGCAAAAGTTTGATCGTTTTTGCTCGCATGTTCAAACACGCAGGTGTTTAAACGCCCATAGATGTGGACATCTTTGTCAAATATTCAGGGACGACCTAGAAAGATTTGTCCAACATCCATAATCAGCACATCACACCAAACATTCTCCTTATAGTCAGTGAAGGAGATATGTATGAGGCTTTGTTCCTTCACCTCCAAGGTAATGGAGTTGACCTAATCTACCTTATATGGGTTGGGATGAGGAACGATAGACAGAACGAGTTTAGACACCATGATGGAGGAGATAACATTGATGCAGCTGCCATTATCCACTATGATTTTACAGTTCTTATCATTTATTTTGGTCTAGGTGTGAAAGATTGTAGTCTTACGCTAGTCATCAGTGGTAACAGGTTGTGATAGTGTGCATCTCACCACGTAGATGGGAGAGGTGTCTATTTTCTGTATACAGTGGATGACAACAGTGTCAGCATCCTCATCAAAGAATTCACCATTGTCTTCAACTTGGTGAATCTGGTCAACCTCGGGCTCAGTCTCTTCATTAGTGACTTTATAAGGACTAGAACACTGAGAGGAGATATGCCCATGCCCCTGGCATCGAAAGCACTTAGTTCCTGGGTGGGACCTAGGGGTATTCGTGGTGGGAGGCTTGTTTCTAAAGTCAGGATGGGGTGTGGGAGGACCAGATGGTGGTCAGGCATGGTTTCCTAGGGTCGACCGTGTATTGGAGTGGTGAGGAGTGGAACTACCGGAAGGTATGTAGGAAGTCTTAAAGTCTTGATGCCGACTAGGGTGTTGGGGACGGGTTTCCTCGAGATTTAACACTAGGTTGTAGGCATTTTCTAGAGTAGTAACATTCCGGGCAAACAGTTCGTTTCATAGATCTTCACGCAATCTGAAACAAGGAAATGATTCATGCGGAGGTGGTAGAGGTCTCCCCCTTGCAGTGAATCAGATATCATCAAAAGCTGCTATGTAATCCTTGACTGGTTTGTTACCCTGAGTTAACATATTCCACCTATCTAGGAGCCTTGGGAAGTACGAGGGAGGTAAGTACTTCTGCTTAAGCTCGCGCTTCATCGACGGCTAATTGGTGATAATATATTCGTTTCGGGATTCTCTAAGGCTTTCTAGGTTGTACCAAAATTGACTAGCCCTACCAGTGAGTTTTATTTCAGCGAATCGGACTTTTCTAGTTTCAGAGATGTTGTACCATTTAAAAAAACTATCCATACCCTGAATCCAGTCCAGAAAGAGTTGGGGATCGAGGGTACCGTCAGAGGTTGGAGCATCGACAATGATATATCTCATTAGTGGAATATCCGGGCCAGGGTTGTGGTCATGTTCATACTGGGGGGCTCGATAAGGGGCACGAGGCGGTCCCTCATCTTGAAAAGTATCGTCCCCATACATGGAAGGAGGTCTAGATGGTGTCTAAGGGATAGGATGGTTCCTACCTCAATCTAAGGTTTCGATTCGTTCAGTAGTGTGTCTACGGAGTTTAGCTATATCTGCTTGGTTTTTCTTGAGTTGTTGGCTAATGGTGTTCATTTGACCTACCAACAGATCTAGAGTCTTGTGCAATTGTTTTGGGTCCATTCTATTGCCTAAGGTGACTTAAAACTAAGCAAAGTGAATGAAATTAATATGCAAGCAGGCAAATGAACTTAAAATGTGCAGGATGCGATTTAGATGCTAAATTTGTGAGAAAAGTTTTCCTAACAGGCACCTAAATGCAACCATGCTCTGATACCAAATGATGGAGGACTGAAATGCTTAACAATGTTAGAAAAGAACATTGTACAATTTAATTTAGAGAGCTTTATTAACTAAAATACTTAAAGTGATTAAACGATTAAATAAAACATGAAAGAGCTGAGACTAGCTTAGGCCAAGTCACATGACTAGTGGTTAGGATTACAAAATAATCAATGATTCAAAACATAACATACATGAAAGATTTCCAGCAAGAAACCCCTACACTAACAATGAGATTATTCGCTACGAAGAGTCCTTCACTCACTTTCTAGATTACTAGGCTCAACGAAAATACTTAACACGACCTTAATAAATCAATTAAAACCACAAGTGGGGTAAGAGTTAGATATGAAAAGATTTAGGGGAAAGATTCACCTTGCTTAGGATTTGGAGACAATCTGCCATTGGAAGGAAGAAAGCTGCACGTCAATAGCTTCAGCGAGGGTGAAGATGGTTTGGTCAACCTCGAGGTTGAGGTCAAAGAAAGGGGAGTTGAGGATCTCAACGTGGCCTTGGTCGTCATAAACGAATTTGTGATCAAGTTCTGGATCCGCCATGCATGAGGGAACAATAGATTTTGGTGTGCTGGAACTTTCGGGCTGCAAACGTTGATCTCCCGGTCGGCTGGACAGCAAGGAGACGTGCAGAAATTTTCTAGACAGCCGCCAAGCAACGTCCAGACAGCAACTTAGAAACCTAGAATTGGGGTTTAGGAGTTGTTTTGAGAGAGAGGAAGGGAAGGAGGAGGTGGGGAAGGGCCAGCGGTTAATGGGGGAGGGGAAAGGAAATTTTCAAAATCTGAAAATAGTTTCAGATTTTTTTTTGGAGGGATTTGTGGTTATGTAATTTGGATTTCCAACAAGAGGAAAGAAAGGAAGGTAATCATTAATGAGAGAGTAATTGATGCTCTCAAGAAGGTAGGAATTTAATGTGAAAGGGAGAGGGAAGGGGGACAAGGGGTTGGCGGCATGCTTGGGGCTTGAGGGGGAAGGATTTTAGGATTGCCTAATTAAGAACCTCAAATTGGGAATGATTAATTTAAATCAAATCCAATTTGAACTTCAATTGGGCTTTATTTAAGTAATTTTCTTAAAATAGATCAACTAAATTTAGGAAAGAATTTCAAAATTCAAATTGATTTGAAATCTAAAATTAATCTTCCTAGTTAAGGTGCATCACATATGGAAGGCAATCAAAATAGGAACTTGAATTGTGGAGGCAAGGTATTTGGGGAGATGAAACTGGCGGCTAGGGTTAGGGTTGGGTTTGGGAGTGGCGACTAGGTGTAGGGGAGGACTCAAGGGGCCAGCAGTTTGGTGTGGAGTAGGCTGTCAAAATCGGGTCACAGGTCGGGTTCGGGTCCAACTCGAAACTAACATGGTACTTTTCGACCTGATTCGAACTTGACTCGGTTTTAAAAATAGGTCGATTTTCTGGATCCGGGTCAGGTCAACTCAAACCCAAGCCGTAACTCTGTAAATCTGCCTCCGGTGAGAAGCTTTGGATCTTTGTTGATGCACGGTGAGTGCAGTTTAGCATTTTATTGCTACGTGTGGACCTTCTTCCTCTTTTTACGTCTTTGGTCTGATCTAATATGTGTCCATACTTTCTTATACGATGAAGCTTCTTCGCATCCATCGACTTCTATCTGCAGCGAAATACGCTAAAAAGCCTCGGAGAGCATGCGAAGTATGATGACGGCGCTGTTTTTGTTGGTGATGTTGGTCGGAAATTTGACGAGGAAGATGAAGCAGGGAAATTTTTTGCAGAATGATATTAACAAGGGCAGGTTGGATTATTAGTTTATTACTATTGGTTGGTCGCAATTTGCCGGATTACTAGTTTTGAACTTTGGTCTTTGGATGTTATATGTTTTGTGCAAGATTTTATAGGTTCAAGCCGATGGAGATCACCGACGCCGACGAGAAAAGTGTCGATGTGGAGCTTGTAGAGACAAGGATGCTAAAAAGTAAAAAAGTCCTCTTTTGCCAGAGTGACCGGACCGTATCCATCATTCCATCTCTTCTTCGTGGCCTTGTTTTTTTATCCCGCTCCGGAGAAGCGACGGGAACTCTTTGTTGTAGGCTACAACCAGCACCTTTCCGCCACGCTTCTCTACCGAATAAATAAAGACAACATATTCGAACGTGGGCACGACGGGCAGACTCGTCGTGTTCGCTACGCGACTCGACTCGAACGCGCCAATGGGCAAAGGCGAATCTTGTGTCACGTTGGTCATTTTTGGGTTTTTCAGACCCGAACCTGACCCGCTTCGGGTTCGGGTTGGCCCTAACCCGAAATTTTCGGGTAGGGTTCGAGTCGGGTTTTCGGGTCATGTCAAATATTGGCACCCCTAGTGTGGAGGAAGGGTGGTCGGCTAGGATTGTAGAGGTGGTGTGGGTTTTGGTCGAGAGGTGGAGAATGGTGGAAGGGCCGACGGTTAATGGAGGGGAGAGGTGGGCTCTTGCCGGCGGCTATGGAGGAAAGGAGAGGGGAGTTAGATGAAAGAAAATAACCACGAACCCGGACGCTTCCTGTGTCTGGTTGGTGATCCATCTCCCTCATCTAGAGTTTCCACCAAAGCTCTCTCTCAAAGCTCTCTAAGTCACAATGCAGAAAAAGTTTCATAATATCATTCATTCGTCTCAAAATATGAAGAGGGTGGCTTTAAATAGCCACATGCAATGAGGGAAAAATAAAAGCCATCATGCCCTTGGGGTTTACACATACCTAGGCCCTCAATTAAGGGTATAAATGAAAAAAAAAATAATAACTCATAATACAAAATAAATTAATACAATGATAATAAAAAATACAGTGGTGCAATCGTGGTCGTAGATCGACGGCCACGCCTCTAGTAGACTCTCCATGGTTGGCTGTCTTCATCATTTTGGGATAAACCTAATGATGTTGGTTAATAGAATTTGGCATTCTTTTTCTAGTATTCATTCTAATTTCGCAGGAACTTCCAGATTAGATATATTCATTCAATGAATTTTCCACCTAGACATACTGTTAGCTTATTTTACCATGCTAAGCAGTGAAGATATGCTTTTGCTTGGAAAGTTGGCCAAAAATAAATTGAGCTTTATCGGTTTTTTTTGTTCCTTGGCATTTGTCAGCTGCAGCTACTTGAATTAGATGTTATAATAGATCATTCAAGATTCTTTCCATGTTGCCATAGTACGCATAACCTACCCTCCATCCCTCGTGACAAACAACAGGTAGCACAGGAATACACCTGTCATCCAGAGACTGCACGTTTTGGCATCCGAACTAATTTGCTTTTTATTTTCATGAGCTCATCTAATTTCTTCATGTGAACCAGGAAAATGACATTCTTCAGTATCTGTCATCATTATTGAGGTCTCATCCTCATAAACTATGGAAACTACCTTCAGTTCTTGTTGCCGCTGCAATTCCTTCATGGTAGTTTCTCCTTTGTTTCACAACATGTCTATTCAATGGACGTTCAATTTATTTTACTTGATATCATGAATGCTTCGGAAGAATGAGGAACATAGTTTTTTGTTCATTAGCATTAGCATTAGCATATGGCGAGCTTTATCCTGAGAAAGCTGTTCAACAAATAAAATTTTGTCAGTGGTCTATAGCTTATGGGTCATCGTATAAACAAATACTAAATTAATAGATTAAGATTTTAATAATGTCGAATAGGTAGTTTGATGGATGAATTAAAATTTTAATTTTGGATGTTCATACAATATTAGAAATTATGCTGAGAGAATTATTATCAATTTTGATTAAAAAATGAATTTTTATTTATTGTTAATAGTAAGACTTCAAATCATAATTATTTTACAAATAGTTAGGCTCGAATAAAGTTGGATTGAAGTTCAAACTTGATAAGAAAATTAATAAACAAGTTTGAACAAAATTTGAAACTTGTGCTCAAGTTCAATAAAATAAATAAATAAACCAAGTTGAACCATGTAGTATTTGACTCAACTTGATTCGTTTACAATTTTACAAGCATCATTGTAGAGTTGATTTAAGGCCACATAGTCATGTTTCCGTATTGTCTTGTTTATGTTGTTATTGACTTTTATTATCTTGTTAAACTCCAACTGTTACTCACCCCTCTCTTCCCCTAACCCCATTTATTTTAATATAAATTTGTATATACATTTATGGTTTATTATTTGCACTTTTCTGTTGTTTTAATGTCATTGGATTTTATATTTCAGGTCAGTCTTGTTCAAGACGCACTTAAGCGATGTAGAAAATCATTATAACGAATCCTATTCTGCAGCTAGGTGATGCTGCATTTTTTTTCCCATCCGGGCTAATTGTACAGGACAATTTTTTTGTAATACTAAGTTACATTCAGACTCGTTTAAAGATACACGTTTGTTGATCCTAATTCCCAACTTCTCCCTTATAGATTCCATGGATGCGATCAGCATGGAAGCAAGCACCAATACTGTAAGTTTGTTAGTTGTTTTTTCTGTTAAACTGTTTATGGTACAGTTTGCATGATTTTGTTTTGTTTTGTGAAAAGTTGCTGCTTGAAATTTATATTGAGGAGAGAAAGTTGTAACGCCTACAGATGTTGAAGGCTTGGCTTTGTACAATTGTGTATCACATTACCATGATTCGCTTTACTTGAACCCTGAATGTAATGAAGTTTAAAATACACTTTGAGGATTCTGATGAATTTGTATGTTCTTTATTTCTTCGCTTTAGAAAAACTCAAGGGAGTAGGGTGGTTAGCATAATAAAGCAATGAGTTTTGATTTAGGAAGGGATGATCATCTTTTTACCCTGTTATTCAATGGCACTTTGCTCCTTGTGCCTTGGAGAAGTCAACTTGTATCAATATATGATTTCAAGGCCAAGAATGTTAGTGTGGTGCATTTGACCTGTCGCAGTGCATAAATGAAAACTAAGCACTTGTCACCCACTCTCAACACAGCTGCTTTCGGTCCACAATGAAACCATTATATTTGTTGATCTCCTTCATTGACTACAGAAGTCATTTTCAGGATAGGCTAATTAGTTTCCATATTTTCCTCCTGTTCTTGCTTTGATAAGCTGTTTCCCAGAATTTTTGAGTTCACATGTTTCTACTAAATTCAATTTTATATGATCTCTATTGCGTGTCAACGGTTTTTTTCTGGTCGCTGGAATGGTGTTATATTGAATCACTCTCCATAGTATTCTAGTGTTGGAAAATTACATCTACTATTTGTAACTTGCTCATGTTATTCAAACCAAAACGTCTGGTTTGGTTGTAGGATGCATCTTCAATCACTTTAGTATCCCGACTCATTCACTTCAGCATTGGCTTGTTTAACATTAAGTTATTATTATTATTATTCTTATTATTGTTAATTTTGAAAAAAGAGATTTGCATATATAGCATCTAGAACACTAGAATTTAAATATGTGATTCATAAACTTCACTATCTACATACATAGAACTCAAAACATAAAAATGAAGTAATTA